CGTACCTCCCAGCAGTCAACGTACCTCCCAGCAGTCAACGTACCTCCCAGCAGTCAACGTACCTCCCAGCAGTCAACGTACCTCCCAGCAGTCAACGCACCTCCCAGCAGTCAACGCACCTCCCAGCAGTCAACGCACCTCCCAGCAGTCAACGTACCTCCCAGCAGTCAACGTACCTCCCAGCAGTCAACGTACCTCCAGCAGTCAACGTACCTCCCAGCAGTCAACGTACCTCCCAGCAGTCAACGTACCTCCCAGCAGTCAACGTACCTCCCAGCAGTCAACGTACCTCCCAGCAGTCAACGTACCTCCCAGCAGTCAACGTACCTCCCAGCAGTCAACGTACCTCCCAGCAGTCAACGTACCTCCCAGCAGTCAACGTACCTCCCAGCAGTCAACGTACCTCCCAGCAGTCAACGCACCTCCCAGCAGTCAACGCACCTCCCAGCAGTCAACGCACCTCCCAGCAGTCAACGCACCTCCCAGCAGTCAACGCACCTCCCAGCAGTCAACGCACCTCCCAGCAGTCAACGCACCTCCCAGCAGTCAACGCACCTCCCAGCAGTCAACGCACCTCCCAGCAGTCAACGCACCTCCCAGCAGTCAACGCACCTCCCAGCAGTCAACGCACCTCCCAGCAGTCAACGCACCTCCCAGCAGTCAACGTACCTCCCAGCAGTCAACGTACCTCCCAGCAGTCAACGTACCTCCCAGCAGTCAACGTACCTCCCAGCCACGTACCTCCCAGCAGTCAACGTACCTCCCAGCAGTCAACGTACCTCCCAGCAGTCAACGTACCTCCCAGCAGTCAACGTACCTCCCAGCAGTCAACGTACCTCCCAGCAGTCAACGTACCTCCCAGCAGTCAACGTACCTCCCAGCAGTCAACGTACCTCCCAGCAGTCAACGTACCTCCCAGCAGTCAACGCACCTCCCAGCAGTCAACGCACCTCCCAGCAGTCAACGCACCTCCCAGCAGTCAACGTACCTCCCAGCAGTCAACGTACCTCCCAGCAGTCAACGTACCTCCCAGCAGTCAACGTACCTCCCAGCAGTCAACGTACCTCCCAGCAGTCAACGTACCTCCCAGCAGTCAACGTACCTCCCAGCAGTCAACGTACCTCCCAGCAGTCAACGTACCTCCCAGCAGTCAACGTACCTCCCAGCAGTCAACGTACCTCCCAGCAGTCAACGTACCTCCCAGCAGTCAACGTACCTCCCAGCAGTCAACGTACCTCCCAGCAGTCAACGTACCTCCCAGCAGTCAACGTACCTCCCAGCAGTCAACGTACCTCCCAGCAGTCAACGTACCTCCCAGCAGTCAACGTACCTCCCAGCAGTCAACGTACCTCCCAGCAGTCAACGTACCTCCCAGCAGTCAACGTACCTCCCAGCAGTCAACGTACCTCCCAGCAGTCAACGGTACCTCCCAGCAGTCAACGTACCTCCCAGCAGTCAACGCACCTCCCAGCAGTCAACGCACCTCCCAGCAGTCAACGCACCTCCCAGCAGTCAACGCACCTCCCAGCAGTCAACGCACCTCCCAGCAGTCAACGCACCTCCCAGCAGTCAACGCACCTCCCAGCAGTCAACGCACCTCCCAGCAGTCAACGTACCTCCCAGCAGTCAACGTACCTCCCAGCAGTCAACGTACCTCCCAGCAGTCAACGTACCTCCCAGCAGTCAACGCACCTCCCAGCAGTCAACGCACCTCCCAGCAGTCAACGCACCTCCCAGCAGTCAACGCACCTCCCAGCAGTCAACGCACCTCCCAGCAGTCAACGCACCTCCCAGCAGTCAACGCACCTCCCAGCAGTCAACGCACCTCCCAGCAGTCAACGCACCTCCCAGCAGTCAACGCACCTCCCAGCAGTCAACGCACCTCCCAGCAGTCAACGCACCTCCCAGCAGTCAACGCACCTCCCAGCAGTCAACGTACCTCCCAGCAGTCAACGTACCTCCCAGCAGTCAACGTACCTCCCAGCAGTCAACGTACCTCCCAGCAGTCAACGTACCTCCCAGCAGTCAACGTACCTCCCAGCAGTCAACGTACCTCCCAGCAGTCAACGTACCTCCCAGCAGTCAACGTACCTCCCAGCAGTCAACGTACCTCCCAGCAGTCAACGTACCTCCCAGCAGTCAACGTACCTCCCAGCAGTCAACGTACCTCCCAGCAGTCAACGTACCTCCCAGCAGTCAACGCACCTCCCAGCAGTCAACGCACCTCCCAGCAGTCAACGCACCTCCCAGCAGTCAACGTACCTCCCAGCAGTCAACGTACCTCCCAGCAGTCAACGTACCTCCCAGCAGTCAACGTACCTCCCAGCAGTCAACGTACCTCCCAGCAGTCAACGTACCTCCCAGCAGTCAACGTACCTCCCAGCAGTCAACGTACCTCCCAGCAGTCAACGTACCTCCCAGCAGTCAACGTACCTCCCAGCAGTCAACGTACCTCCCAGCAGTCAACGTACCTCCCAGCAGTCAACGTACCTCCCAGCAGTCAACGTACCTCCCAGCAGTCAACGCACCTCCCAGCAGTCAACGCACCTCCCAGCAGTCAACGCACCTCCCAGCAGTCAACGCACCTCCCAGCAGTCAACGCACCTCCCAGCAGTCAACGCACCTCCCAGCAGTCAACGCACCTCCCAGCAGTCAACGCACCTCCCAGCAGTCAACGCACCTCCCAGCAGTCAACGCACCTCCCAGCAGTCAACGCACCTCCCAGCAGTCAACGCACCTCCCAGCAGTCAAGCATCAACGCACCTCCCAGCAGTCAACGTACCTCCCAGCAGTCAACGTACCTCCCAGCAGTCAACGTACCTCCCAGCAGTCAACGTACCTCCCAGCAGTCAACGTACCTCCCAGCAGTCAACGTACCTCCCAGCAGTCAACGTACCTCCCAGCAGTCAACGTACCTCCCAGCAGTCAACGTACCTCCCAGCAGTCAACGTACCTCCCAGCAGTCAACGTACCTCCCAGCAGTCAACGTACCTCCCAGCAGTCAACGTACCTCCCAGCAGTCAACGTACCTCCCAGCAGTCAACGCACCTCCCAGCAGTCAACGCACCTCCCAGCAGTCAACGCACTCCCAGCAGTCAACGTACCTCCCAGCAGTCAACGTACCTCCCAGCAGTCAACGTACCTCCCAGCAGTCAACGTACCTCCCAGCAGTCAACGTACCTCCCAGCAGTCAACGTACCTCCCAGCAGTCAACGTACCTCCCAGCAGTCAACGTACCTCCCAGCAGTCAACGTACCTCCCAGCAGTCAACGTACCTCCCAGCAGTCAACGTACCTCCCAGCAGTCAACGTACCTCCCAGCAGTCAACGTACCTCCCAGCAGTCAACGTACCTCCCAGCAGTCAACGTACCTCCCAGCAGTCAACGTACCTCCCAGCAGTCAACGTACCTCCCAGCAGTCAACGTACCTCCCAGCAGTCAACGTACCTCCCAGCAGTCAACGTACCTCCCAGCAGTCAACGTACCTCCCAGCAGTCAACGTACCTCCCAGCAGTCAACGTACCTCCCAGCAGTCAACGTACCTCCCAGCAGTCAACGTACCTCCCAGCAGTCAACGTACCTCCCAGCAGTCAACGTACCTCCCAGCAGTCAACGTACCTCCCAGCAGTCAACGTACCTCCCAGCAGTCAACGTACCTCCCAGCAGTCAACGTACCTCCCAGCAGTCAACGTACCTCCCAGCAGTCAACGTACCTCCCAGCAGTCAACGTACCTCCCAGCAGTCAACGTACCTCCCAGCAGTCAACGTACCTCCCAGCAGTCAACGTACCTCCCAGCAGTCAACGTACCTCCCAGCAGTCAACGTACCTCCCAGCAGTCAACGTACCTCCCAGCAGTCAACGTACCTCCCAGCAGTCAACGTACCTCCCAGCAGTCAACGTACCTCCCAGCAGTCAACGTACCTCCCAGCAGTCAACGTACCTCCCAGCAGTCAACGTACCTCCCAGCAGTCAACGTACCTCCCAGCAGTCAACGTACCTCCCAGCAGTCAACGTACCTCCCAGCAGTCAACGTACCTCCCAGCAGTCAACGTAACGTACCTCCCAGCAGTCAACGTACCTCCCAGCAGTCAACGTACCTCCCAGCAGTCAACGTACCTCCCAGCAGTCAACGTACCTCCCAGCAGTCAACGTACCTCCCAGCAGTCAACGTACCTCCCAGCAGTCAACGTACCTCCCAGCAGTCAACGTACCTCCCAGCAGTCAACGTACCTCCCAGCAGTCAACGTACCTCCCAGCAGTCAACGTACCTCCCAGCAGTCAACGTACCTCCCAGCAGTCAACGTACCTCCCAGCAGTCAACGTACCTCCCAGCAGTCAACGTACCTCCCAGCAGTCAACGTACCTCCCAGCAGTCAACGTACCTCCCAGCAGTCAACGTACCTCCCAGCAGTCAACGTACCTCCCAGCAGTCAACGTACCTCCCAGCAGTCAACGTACCTCCCAGCAGTCAACGTACCTCCCAGCAGTCAACGTACCTCCCAGCAGTCAACGTACCTCCCAGCAGTCAACGTACCTCCCAGCAGTCAACGTACCTCCCAGCAGTCAACGTACCTCCCAGCAGTCAACGTACCTCCCAGCAGTCAACGTACCTCCCAGCAGTCAACGTACCTCCCAGCAGTCAACGTACCTCCCAGCAGTCAACGTACCTCCCAGCAGTCAACGTACCTCCCAGCAGTCAACGTACCTCCCAGCAGTCAACGTACCTCCCAGCAGTCAACGTACCTCCCAGCAGTCAACGTACCTCCCAGCAGTCAACGTACCTCCCAGCAGTCAACGTACCTCCCAGCAGTCAACGTACCTCCCAGCAGTCCAACGTACCTCCCAGCAGTCAACGTACCTCCCAGCAGCAACGTACCTCCCAGCAGTCAACGTACCTCCCAGCAGTCAACGTACCTCCCAGCAGTCAACGTACCTCCCAGCAGTCAACGTACCTCCCAGCAGTCAACGTACCTCCCAGCAGTCAACGTACCTCCCAGCAGTCAACGTACCTCCCAGCAGTCAACGTACCTCCCAGCAGTCAACGTACCTCCCAGCAGCCTCAGCGTGTTGCCCATGCCCGGGTTCCTCATCACCTCGCCAGCCCTCGGCGCCCTCTCCCCGTCCACCAATAGCTCGCCGCCATGTGGCCCTCCCTGCTTCAACTGCCACGTGGATCAGAGGGTGTCCAGCACAGAAAAATGCCAATTTCATGCTGATAATGAATTATCTTCTGAGACGTCTCAACATTTATCATCCCATGCTCTGAAGCAAAAGGGTGCCAATCCTGTCCGTGCCCCACGTCGCACACACCTGCTCCACGCCTCTCTCCCACTGTCCAGCTGTCAGCGGCGGCACGGGCCAACCGCCTTCCGCCAGCTGTACGGCCGGCTCGAGCGCCTCGCGGAGCGACACGTGGCGCGATCCGAACCGTTGGATGGCGTCGGCCCAGCAGGCGGCGGCGCCGGGGACGGTGACCGTGAGGGGGTGGAAGGGGGGAAGCGGGTGCGCGGGGGAGAAACCGAGTGTGGCGAGGTGGGAGAGCGAGAGCGCGGCGGGGCAGCGGCCGTTGCCCTGAATACTGTGGACCGTGCGCGTTGATGCGCGGTAGAAGAGGAGGAAGGCGTCTCCGCCTGGGGTTTGTGGGTAGGGGAAAGGGGGAAGGGAGGGTGGGAATGGGGATAGAAGGAGATTAGAGTGAGTGAGCGGGAGGAAAGACGTGGGCGGGATGCATGTACCGCGGGGGTTGAGGCGCGGGGGTGCCGCGGGGGTTGAGGGGCGGCAGAAAGGAGGAGAGGCGCCACCAGTTGCAGTCACGGGCCGCGTAAGGGATAGTGAACAGTGTGGGCGGTGTGGACGGTGTAGATTGGGGTGGGGCTGAAGATCGGAAAGGCGTTGCCGCCTGATCGAAGATTGTCGATGTGATTCCCACCTAGGCCGGTGCTGCACGGTTCGCACACCGCAAGCGCCGCCGCCATGGCGACCGCCGCGTCCGCCGCGTTGCCGCCGGCCCGCAGAATGCGGAGGCCGGCTTCGCTGGCGAGCGGCTGCGACGACGCGACCATCCCGCGCGTCGCGAGGACGGGCGAGCGGCGCGACGGCCATGCATAGGGATCTCCGGTGAACATGGCGAGTGCGGATTTGTTCGGCGCGAAAGGCGAAGAGGTTGCCAACATGTGGGGTTGCGGCAACATCGAGGATGATATGTGGCATATGCCCTTCTTATTGACAGACCTCGTGACCTGGTTTTGTGCGCCAAAATAGCGATTACTCGAGTTAAAAGGCATGGGAGGAGATTCCTCCCGAAAATGCACAAATTACCGACGTGAGCAAATGAGGTGGCCACTTTCAAAACATTTGCGAATGAACACTTCAAAGTGTTCATTTCATTGCGAATGAACACTTCACGAAATGAACACTTCAAAGTTCACATTTGCGAATTGGTCTGCATGGCAAGGCAACTCTTCAGAGAAATCACCATAGTATGTACCAGCAGTAACGTATTCATTACAAAACTAGCATTCATGAAACGTCGAGATTGCATACAATATCGGGAATAACAAAACGCTTCAACTGACTGACTTGGAACCTGGAACAGTGTAGTGTAATACGGTACGAAGACAGGCACCATTTACAAATCAACCCTTCCTTCCCAGCGCAAACACCAATCAGCAGCACACACCTTCCCTCAAACTCTCCAGCTCCAAACCACCCCAAGTTCCCAACCTCCCCCTCCTCCCCTCCCCTCCTCCCCCCCCCCCCCCCACTCTCGCTACATCTAAGCCACGGGCAGGCACACTAAAGCCCAGAAGCACGTCTCGCCGCCCCTTTCCCCTTCTTCACACCCGGCATGACAATCCGCTCCGCCTCCCTCACAGTCTGCTCCTCGTCCTTCCTGCGTCTCATCTCCTCCTCCACCTCCCTCTTCCGCCTCGCCTCCGCCATCTCCCGCTCCATTGCACTCGCCTCCTCCCGCAGCTTCTGCTTCTGCTGCAGCCTGCTTGTGAATGAAAGTCTCCAGCGACCCGCACGCACACACTAGAGACCAGCACGCCTGCCCACCGTCCCGCGCCCCTTTTTAACCCCCGGCATCACAATCCTTTCAGCCTCCTTTGCAGTCTGCTCCTCGTCCTTCCTGCGTCTCATCTCCTCCTCCACCTCCCTCTTCCGCCTCGCCTCCGCCATCTCCCGCTCCATCGCACTCGCCTCCTCCCGCAGCTTCTGCTTCTGCTGCAGCCTGCTCTGATGACTATCCTTCACACTGAAAAACATCGGCCCGGCCTCCGCCAACCATCTTGGCTCAACAGCCGTCACACACTGCATGTATTCCTTCGAAGTCAGCACCAACTCATGGTAAACCACATATTCCGGGGTTGTTCCGAGCCCGTAAAGCGCGCTCGTGGGGTGCAGGTGACAGGGAGTGCCGGTGCGGCAGCTCGCATACTCCCCCACGCCTTTCAGCTTCGCCGCGTGGTGGAAATACGCCGTGCAGATCGCCCGCCGCACCACATCCCAGTCCTGCCCCGCGCTAGACAGCGGAATCTTCTGCTGCTTGAGGATATCGGCTAGTTGGGCTCGCACCTCCCGGGCCTTCCTCAGGCCTTTCACGTGGAGGTAGTGGTCGGAGCACCAGTCGCCGCGATACCCGTTGGACTTCCACTGCTGGAAGACGTTTAGGAGAGTCAGGTGGTCGCTCTCGGGCACGAAAAACTTCTCCCGGGCAGCGTCAGACTCCTCTTCGCGGTCCTTGGGGCGGAAGAAAACCGACGGCACCGAGAGCATGGCGACCATGGTCAACGTCTCGTTCACACACCCAAACTGATCCCCGGATATCAACAGCTTCGCCAGAGCAGGGTCTAAAGGAAACTCCACCATCCGCCTCCCCGTCTTGGTCAGTGCTCCGGTATTGTCCAGCGCTCCTAAGATCCAAAGCTGGTACATGGAGTTCAGAATGTTCTCCTGAGGAGGAGGGTCAAGGAAGTCAAAATCCAGGAGGTTGTCGATGTTGAGGGATTTCAGCAGCAGCACGACATTCCCGAGGTTCGTGCGCTGGATCTCCGGGACTGGATTTGCCAGCATCTCGTTCGCGTAGGCGGTTTCTGTGTACAGCCGGTAGCACGTTCCCGGACCTGTCCGTCCGGCTCGGCCGGACCTCTGGTCGGCCGCGGCTCGGCTGATGGGGAAGACCTGTAGCGCGTCCATACCCATGCGGGGGTTGTAGACCTTGATCTTGCTGTATCCACCGTCGATCACGTACAAGATCCCATCAACGGTCAGCGACGTCTCGGCGATATTCGTCGCCACGATGCATTTCCTGGTACCTTCCTCGGCTTTTTGGAAGATCTTAGCCTGGAGATCGGCCGGAAGCTGGGAGTAGATGGGGAGGATGGAAAGGGGCGGCGGGGGACGGGCGGCGCCGGCCGCCATTTGCTCTAGGCGGTCAGCGAGAGAGAAACAAGTGGCTTCGATGTCTTCTTGGCCGGTCATGAAGATTAGGATGTCGCCAGGTGGCATGGTGACGTGGATGGCTAGCGCTTGCTTGACTGCCGCGTCTACAGGGTCCTCGCAGGGCGACTTGCTCCACATGATGCTCACTGGGAAGGTGCGCCCTGGGATGAAGAACACTGGTACACTGTGGGGGGTGGGGGGATGGAGGGGATGAGAAGGGGCAAAATGAGAAGGGAGAAGATGAGAAAGAAAAAAGGGCGAGGGAGAAGCAGGTGGCTTCAATGACCTCTTGGCCGGGAGGTGGATGGCCAGCGCCTGCTTGACTGCCGCATCGACCGGGTCTTTGCAGGGCGACTTGCTCCACATGATGCTCACTGGGAAGGTGCGCCCTGGGATGAAGAAGACCGGTACACTGGGAGGAGGGGAGCGGAAGAAGAGAGGGAGGAATGGGATGGAGGAGGAAGAGATGTTGGAAGGATGAGAAAGTAGAGGAATGAGAAGAGGAAGGTGCTCCACATTGCAACACACTTCAACACAAGCTCCACCCCACCTTCCCCAGCAACCACATGCCTCAGCAACCACCAGTCCCAGCACCCCTCACCTGCCGAAGAAGTAGGAAAATTTCTCAGCGTTGAGCGTGGCCGAGGCCACGATGAGGTTGGTGGCGGGCTAGCAACACACCTCAACACAAGCTATACCTGCTGCAACAACCACGTAACAGCAACAACCTGCCACAACAAGCCACCCTCCCCCCCCCCTCCCCTCCCTTCCCCCCCACCACCTGCCCCAGCACCCCTCACCTGCCGAAGAAGTGGGAGAACTTCTCAGCGTTGAGCGCGGCGGAAGTGACAATGGGGTTGATGAGCTTACAGGACTTGCGAAACACCTCAACACTGGTCTCACATGCTGCAGTGAGCACATGTCACAACACCCCACAGCACCCCTCACCTGCCGAAGAAGTGGGAGAACTTCTCAGCGTTGAGCGTAGCAGAGGTCACGATGAGCTTGAAGCCCCTCCTTGCACCCTACCGCATCACAAGCTATACCTGCAGCAGCAGCAACCACCCGCACCTCAACACAACACCCCACAGCACCCCTCACCTGCCGAAGAAGTGGGAGAACTTCTCAGCGTTGAGCGTGGCGGAGGTGACGATGAGCTTGAAGTCCCGGCGCCGCGCCGCCACGTGTTTGAGCACTCCGAACAGCACGTCCGTGTTCAATGACCGCTCGTGCGCCTCGTCCATTATGATGGCGCTGAAAGGGCGGGACGGGGTAGAGGGTTAGGGGAAGGGCAGTAGCACATGGCATGTGCAACGGGCCACGTGCTTGAGCACTCCGAACAGCACGTCCGTGTTCAATGACCGCTCGTACGCCTCGTCCATTATAATGGCGCTGAAAGGGGGCAGAGGGGAGGGTAGATGGGAGGGGGACGGGGAGAGGAGCAGCACATGCCACATGCCACGTGCTTGAGCACCCCGAACAGCACGTCCGTGTTCAGCGACCGCATTATAATGGCGCTGGGTGAGGGGCGCGGGGGGAGGGGCGCGGGGGGAGGGGGAAAGGGAGGGGAGGGGGGAGGGGAGGGGGGAGGGGAGGGAGGAGGGAAGAGGGAGAGGGGGAGAGGGAAGTGTGATGGAGAGGAGGGCACAAGAAAGGGCTGCAGAAGTCGGACTAGCGAGGGAGTTGAGTTGAGAGCAGCAGCACGTCCACGCCGCCACGTGCTTGAGCACCCCGAACGGCACATTTGTGTTGAGCGACCGAATGCTCATGCACCTCATCTTTTATGATGGCGCTGGGGGAGGGGTCGAGGGGCGGGGGACGGAAATGGGAAGACGGGGGAGGATAGTACAAGAGAGGGTGTTAGAAGGGGGAGAAGCGAGGGAGGGAGGGGAAGGGAATGTCTGTGTTTCATGACCACTCGTGTGATTTGTCCGTATTGATGGTGCTGAAGGTTGAAGGAGGAGAAAAATTGCACAACATGAGAGCTCATGCATGGATGCGAAGCAGTTCACAACACAGGGACTGCTCACCACGCGCCTTTACGCGTACCCTGCGTGGGTGGCGTGGCGTTCATCCATGAGAAGCAGTTCACAACACAGGGACGGAAGACGTCACCCACGCAGGGTACGCATAAAGCGTAACCAAGAGCGTGGCACACGGCAATGGCACACACCTGTACTGGTCGAGGTCCGGTTCTCTCAGTGACTCCCTCAGCAGCACTCCCTCCGTCATGTACTGATGTGTGTGGGGGAGGGAAGAGGGGGTGAGAAGAGGGATAAAGGGATGAGAAGCTGCGACAAACTACACAGGATCGATCAGCACCACACAGTACCTCCCAGGAGCGCACAGCGCCATACTGTAACTCCCAGCACCACACAGTATCTCATAGCACCACACAGCGCCTCAGACACGCACAAATTTCTCATCTCACTGGCATCGCAGCACCACACAGCACCTCAGAGCGAGAGTGCGAGTGTGTTTAGTCCGTGCTGCTGCCTCGTCATCGAGAAATTAGATGGTCATCACTGGCATGGCAGCATGGTGGCATGGTGGCACAACAGCTGCAAAAGGCTGCTACAAAATACACTGAATTGCTCAGCACCTCCCAGCACCACACATAGCAGCAGCACACTGCGCTTCTGAGAGAGAGAGAGTGTGTGTGTGTTTAGTCCGTGCCGGCGCCTCGTCATCAAGAAATTAAATAAATGGTCATCACCGGCAGAACCAAGGATCAAAGCTCATTTCTGAGGACCAAGGATCGCATACCCCACGGTGGACCCCAGCTTGCACTCCATCCCAGTCCCTCCCTCTTCTTCTCCCCATCCCCCACTGCCGCTTCCCTCTCATCCCACCCATCCCACCTTCACAAGAGTGTTGCTGCTGGTAACGTCCTCGAACCGGATGGCATAGCCCACGGTGGACTCCACCTCGCACTCCATCTCACTCCCTCCCTCTCCCCTTCACTGCCCCACTGCCTCTCCAACCCTCAACCTCCCCATTCACGCATTGCCCACCCCACCCACCTTCACGAGCGTGTTGCTGCTGGTGACGTCTTCGAACCGAATGGCATAGCCCACGGTGGACCCCAGCTCGCACTCCATCTCATCCGCCACGCGCTTCGCCACACTCATTGCTGCCACTCGCCGCGGCTGTGTGCACCCCACCATGCCGTATGTGGTGTAGCCATCCTCGTGCAGGTACTGGTGGGCCAGTAGGTACGGGGATAGGGGTTACGGATTAAGCTGTTAAGACAAACATGCAATTCATTGTGCACGGCTGCTTGCACCCCACCATGCCATACGTGGTGAAGCCGTCCTCGTGCAGGTACTGGTAGGTGGGAGAGGGTTTGGAAACAAACGCGAATCGGTTTTGAATGGGCTGCATACATCCCACCATGCCATACATGGTGTGACCGTCCTCCTCCGCAAGTACCGCGAGCAGCTCACTCACATGGGTACAAAAACAAACGATTCAGCTACTAACGGGGACAAATGAAAAACAGAGTGTTTGGATAGGTGCTTGATTCTTTTTTTGTTAGAGTAACACATAAAACTGCCATAGAAAAGGATACAGTAAGGGCGAGAGCACCACACCACCCAACCATGTCCTCGCACTAGTTCTGAGTCACACTGAGGCGCTCACCTGGGTCATTTGTGTTGTGCCACGTCTATCCCAACACTCACCTGTGTCATCTGTGTTGTTTTGCCAGAGCCTGTCTCGCCCACCACCACCACAATCTGGTGACTTTTGAGGCAACTCATATACTCATCTTGTGCCACGTCCCCAACACTCACTCACCTGCGTCATCTGTGTTGTTTTGCCGGAGCCTGTCTCGCCCACCACCACCACAATCTGGTTCTCGCGAATCACCTGCGGTGGTGAGACACGCCACACAATGGGCAAAGCGAGGCATGAAGGCATGAGGGGCGCCGGGATGAGTGGCACAGATGCATGAGAAAGGCACACCGGCATGCTTTTTGCAGACTGACCGGACCAGAGGTAGGTACAGACACGCGCAGCTGTTCCTGGACGTTAAGGGGCACATACACTCGAGCGAAGCACCCGTCTGCACGTTCTTATCCCTCTGAGGATATCTGAGACATCCCTCATCTCATCTCATCCCATGCAGGTACATCCCTTGTCAGACGTCTCAACTCAAACCTAGTCCCACCTGCAAGAGCTCGTCCCTGACAGAATAAATGAGGTAGAGGCACTGCTCCGAGATGGACTTAATGAGGCCCAATATGTTGTGAGACGCCTCCATTTCTCAAAGGTTTCTCACCTGCGCAAGCTCGTCCCTCACGCGTGGAATAGCTGGGGGCAGGTGCATGCACTGTATTCATCTCAATCCTAGTGGTGACTCACCTGCAGCAGCTCGTCGCGCACGGAGTAGATGGGCAGGTACATGCGCTGCTCTGCCATCGACTTGTTGTTGGCAAAGTCACAGGCAGCGCCCTGTGCTTTGAGTTGAGAGCTACACACGCACAGCAGCGTAAACTCAGTGGTGACTCTCACCTGCAGGAGCTCGTCGCGGACAGAGTAGATGGGCAGGTACATGCGCTGCTCGGCTATCGACTTGTTCTTGGCAAAGTCACTGGCAGCGCCGCCCGTGCTCTTCATGTGGTCGGCGAACTTCACATTGTCCTTATAGTCCACCTCGCCCTCCTCGTCCACCTTGGCTGTATCCGCATCCACCTGGTGGGATCATTTCAAGTTGGGGGTTCGGGGGTTTATGGATTCAGCTGCATACTTCACATTGTCCTTATAGTCCACCTCACCTTCCGCGTCCACCTGGTGGTGGGAGCAACATGGGGGTTTGGATTGTTTGGAAGTTTGAAGGTTCAGGGCCTGAAGGCTCAGTTTGCCAAATCCCCATTGTCCTTATGGTCCACCTTGCTCTCCTCAATTTTTGAGGCTCCTCAAAAATAGGTTCAGCGGCTGAAGGCTCTGTTTGCCAAATCCACATTGTCTTTATGGTCCATCTTGCTCTCCTCGTCCACCTTGGCTGTATCCGCATTCACGTGGTGGGAAGGGCGGCATGAGGGGTTTGGGATCATTTCATAGAAAGAAGACTTTTAAGGCGCCTCAAAAGTCATGAGGGGTTTGAGATAATTTCATAGAAAGAATAGTGAAAGTGAGGCTCCGGCATGTGGCATGTGGCGTGTGTGTGTGCGTGCGTGTGGCATGTTGCATGTGGCATGATCTGATGTGGCATACCGCATGTGGCATGATCTGATGTGGCATACCACATGTGGCATGATGTGTGATGTGTAGCGTGTCGCAGGTGGCATGCGCATGCCACATGCGTGCCACGTGCTTGCAGCACCACTGACACACTCCACTGGTGTCCACCCAACCACACGCGTTCCCACATCACCACATGCCCATGCATGCTCTCAATGCCTATGATATGACACTCACATCAGCGGCAGATTTCTTGGCGCCGAGAATGTTCCCCAGCTTGCTTCCTGCAAGTTCCCAGAACTTCTGCCTGCTCTTGTTCTGCTGCTGCTTCTCCCGAATCTGCGGGGGGCACAAGAGGGCAGGCGGGACAGGACGACAGGAAAATGGATGGTGGGTGAGAAACAGGAAAGAGGGACATCTGAAGACAACTCCGTGCACTGAGTTGAAGAACCCAGCAAACACCACGCCACGGACATCGCAGGTAAAACTCCACGGACATCCATAGCAGGTAAAACTCCACGGACATCCATAGCAGGTAAAACTCCACGGACATCCATAGCAGGTAAAACTCCACGGACATCCATAGCAGGTAAAACTCCACGGACATCCATAGCAGGTAAAACTCCACGGACATCCATAGCAGGTAAAACTCCACGGACATCCATAGCAGGTAAAACTCCACGGACATCCATAGCAGGTAAAACTCCACGGACATCCATAGCAGGTAAAACTCCACGGACATCCATAGCAGGTAAAACTCCACGGACATCCATAGCAGGTAAAACTCCACGGACATCCATAGCAGGTAAAAAAGAGTATGGCACAAGTGAACACACAACCCTCAGGCCCCTCTCTGACTTCACCACCCACCCACGCACCTCTCTAATGAGAGCAGAGCCCTCGCGAGTGATGATGGCCATGTCAACCGTGGGGTCCTTGAAAGGCATCACCGGCTCTGGATATGTGTGTGGTGTCTCTAGCAATAAATAACCAGCACACCACACCCCCCTGGTACCTGATCCTTACCACCCACACCCCCTCTCTGACTTCACCCCGCATACACCTCTCTAACGAGAGCAGAGCCCTTGCAAGTGATGATGGCCATGTCAGAGGTGGGAACCTTGAGTTGAGAGGCAGCACCGGCTACTACTTACCTTCACCAGCCACCCGTGACTGTTCCCATCAGTACAGCATCACCCTGAACCCAACACCAACGTACCTCTCTGACAAGAGCAGAGCCCTAGCGGGCGATGATGGCCATGTCAGACGTGGGGTCCTTGAAAGGCATCACACCGGCTCCTCACCTTGACCAGCACAGCACACCACTGACTAACCGTTACTCTCACTGCTCATACCCACCTGTTACCACCCACACACACACCTCTCTGACTAGCGCTGAGCCCTTGCGGGCGATGATGGCCATGTCGGACGTGGGGTCCTTCAGCGGCATCACCGGCTCCTGCTGCTTCGTGAACACGATTCGCCCGTCCAGGAACGGTGGCTTCGTGTCTGCTCATGCACAGATGGGAAAGGGACGGGCAGCGGGTTGTACGGGAGAACTATTTTTGAGGTGCCTAGAGAATGGAGAGGCAGCGGGTTATAATACGCTGGGTGCCTCAAAAATAGTACGTGCTTCGTGCTTTTTCCCATACGCAGGGCACATACGCTGCACAGCATGTCCAAGGGCACTCCACAACATGTGTGGTGAAGGCGGGAACAAATTTGGGCACACTCTCTTTTCCATGCTCCCAGCTCAGTCACACCAAGGAGGAGCGGGGACACCCGCCCACCATGCACAAGCAGCAGCAGCAGCAGCATGCGGTGTTCATCCTCGTCATCAATATCCATGTGGAGAGGACTTTTGAGGCGCCTCAGAAGTCTTTTTATTCGACTTTTGACTTTTAAGGCTCCTAAAAAGTCCTCAAAATTTTGGAGGCACCTCAAAAGTGTTCATCCTCGTCATTAACATCCGTGTGGAGAGGAATTTTGAGGCGCCTCAAAAGTGTGGAGAGTTCTGAGGCATTGCGGCTTTAATGTTGAATCGACAGCCACCTTACTTGGACGACTCAAGAGGCTCACCGTGCACGAGCAGCAGCACGCGGTTCTCATCCTCGTCGTCAATGTCCGTGGAGAGCTCTGTAGCGTTGCGCACCACTCCCGACCGCATGAGCTGCCGGTCCTCCCACGACGCCTGGTCCGCCGACAGCTGGGTGAGGCGCTTGCTGGCCGCCAGAGACATGGCCGACCCGTCTGACCGCACCATGCGCTGCTGCCTCGCCGCTGCTTCCTTCTTGCGCTCCTCCTTCTTTTCAAACGCTTGCTCGTCGCCGAATCCCCCAAACGGGTTGCTTCCCTCTCCGGAGTCGAAAACACTTCCAGCCTCCTCCGAGTCGTACCTGGGAGGCGGGTGGGTAGGAAGGAGTACGGCGGACGGGATCAAGGGAGGGAGGGTGGAGGAAGGGAGGGAGGAAGAAAGTAAGGGAAAGATGGCCGACAGCTGGGTGAGGCGCTTGCTGGCCGCCAGAGACATGGCCGACCCGTCTGACCGCACCATGCGCTGCTGCCTCGCCGCTGCTTCCTTCTTGCGCTCCTCCTTCTTCTCAAACGCTTGCTCGTCGCCGAATCCCCCAAACGGGTTAGAGCCCTCGCCCAAGTCAAACACACTGCCCGCCTCCTCTGAGTCGTACCTGGGAGGGCAAGGGGGTGGGGAGGGCGGAAGGAATTAAGGGAGGGAGGGTGGAAGGAAAGGAGGGGGAAAGAGGATGAGACATGGCCGACCCGTCCCCCCGCACCATGCGCCGCTGCTGCCTTGCCGCCGCTTCCTTCTTGCCTTCCTCCCCCTTCTCGAAGCCTTGCTCATCTCTGAACCCTCCGAACGAATTGGTGCCTGCCCTCGCCCAAATCAAACAAACACGCTGCCTGCTGTAAAAAGAGTGGTTTTGAGACGTCTCAAAACCTCTCTTTTTACACGTGGACCCTCCGAGCGACATCTCAAAACCTCTCTTTTTACACGTGGACCCTCCGAGCGGGTTGGTGCCTGCCCTCGCCCGAGTCAAACAAACACGCTGCCTGCCTGCTTCCTCTGAGTCGTACCTGCGAGGGCGGGCGGGTGAGAAAGCGTATGGGATTACAAGAGAGTGAGACACAGTTGACCTGTCACTGTCAGTCAGACTGCAGGACGCACCATGCATGCACCCCTCATCACGCACCTCGTCCTCCTACCGCCCCTCCCATGCACTCCTGTTTCGACCGTGCCAACTGTTTTCTTCTTTTCATACTCTCTCAACCCCAACCAAACCCAGAGACCAGACTCACCAGGAGCGGTCGGCCTGCCTCTCCGCCTCCTCCATCTCCCGGCGCAGGCCCTCATCCTCCTCCGCGCCTGCCCCCCCTCCCTCCCCCGCCTCCCTGTCAGCACGGTAATCCGTGTCCCACTCGCTCTCCTGCTGCGATGGCGCCTGGGGGCATGCAGGAGCGTGCAAGGGGAGAGGGGCAAAGGAAAGAGGGACAGGCGGTATTTGAGACGTCTCAGATATCCTCTCCCGCTGCTGGGATGGCGCCTGGGAGCGTGCAAGGGGAGAGGGGCACAAGTGGAGTGGAACAGGACAAGGGCGGACTAATGTGCAGAAGAGGAGTGGGAGACACAAGGGAAACACTCCTCCCCACCTGGCCACTAACTAACGTGCCACCTGGCCACTAACGTGCCACCTGGCCACTAACGTGCCACCTGGCCACTAACGTGCCACCTGGCCACTAACGTGCCACCTGGCCACTAACGTGCCACCTGGCCACTAACGTGCCACCTGGCCACTAACGTGCCACCTGGCCAGAAGAGGAGCGGCTGATCAGCTCCGTGAACCTGAACCCCACCTGGCCTCCTCCCACAGTGCTTCTGTAATCACTTCCAAACAGCACTCAATATAGCATAACAACCCCTTCCAAACAGCACTCAATATAGCATAACAACCCCTTCCAAACAGCACTCAATATAGCATAACAACCCCTTCCAAACAGCACTCAATATAGCATAACAACCCCTTCCAAACAGCACTCAATATAGCATAACAACCCCTTCCAAACAGCACTCAATATAGCATAACAACCCCTTCCAAAGAGCACTCAATATAGCATAACAACCCCTTCCAAACAGCACCCAATATAGCATAACAACCCCTTCCAAACAGCACTCAATATAGCATAACAACCCCTTCCAAAGAGCACTCAGTATAGCATAACAACCCCTTCCAAAGAGCACTCAATATAGCATAACAACCCCTTCCAAACAGCACTCAATATAGCATAACAACCCCTTCCAAAGAGCACTCAATATAGCATAACAACCCCTTCCAAACAGCACTCAATATAGCATAACAACCCCTTCCAAAGAGCACTCAATATAGAATAACAACCCCTTCCAAACAGCACCCAATATAGCATAACAACCCCTTCCAAACAGCACTCAATATAGCATAACAACCCCTTCCAAACAGCACTCAATATAGCATAACAACCTTAGTTGGTCATTTACGTTTACGTTTACGTACGTACGTGTACGGGTACCTGAACCCCACCTGGCCTCCTCCCACAGTGCTTCTGTAATTACTTCCAAACAGCACTCAATATAGCATAACAACCCCTTCCAAAGAGCACTCAATATAGCATAACAACCCCTTCCAAACAGCACTCAATATAGCATAACAACCCCTTCCAAACAGCACTCAATATAGCATAACAACCCCTTCCAAACAGCACTCAATATAGCATAACAACCCCTTCCAAACAGCACTCAATATAGCATAACAACCCCTTCCAAAGAGCACTCAATATAGCATAACAACCCCTTCCAAACAGCACCCAATATAGCATAACAACCCCTTCCAAACAGCACTCAATATAGCATAACAACCCCTTCCAAAGAGCACTCAATATAGCAGAACAAACCCTTCCAAAGAGCACTCAATATAGCATAACAACCCCTTCCAAACAGCACTCAATATAGCATAACAACCCCTTCCAAAGAGCACTCAATATAGCATAACAACCCCTTCCAAACAGCACTCAATATAGCATAACAACCCCTTCCAAAGAGCACTCAATATAGCATAACAACCCCTTCCAAACAGCACTCAATATAGCATAACAACCCCTTCCAAACAGCACTCAATATAGCATAACAACCCCTTCCAAAGAGCACTCAATATAGCATAACAACCCCTTCCAAACAGCACCCAATATAGCATAACAACCCCTTCCAAACAGCACTCAATATAGCATAACAACCCCTTCCAAAGAGCACTCAATATAGCATAACAACCCCTTCCAAAGAGCACTCAATATAGCATAACAACCCCTTCCAAACAGCACTCAATATAGCATAACAACCCCTTCCAAAGAGCACTCAATATAGCATAACAACCCCTTCCAAACAGCACTCAATATAGCATAACAACCCCTTCCAAAGAGCACTCAATATAGCATAACAACCCCTTCCAAACAGCACTCAATATAGCATAACAACCCCTTCCAAACAGCACTCAATATAGCATAACAACCCCTTCCAAACAGCACTCAATATAGCATAACAACCTTAGTTGGTCATTTACGTTTACGTTTACGTACGTACGTGTACGGGTACGTACGTTTACGCGGCTGTTGGGTTGGAGGCCTAATTTACGGGCAGGTGAAAAAATTTCTGGGCTGCCCGGATATGTATATTTTCTCTATACTTTTCCCTCGTAATCATAATTTCCATCATACAGTGTAAAAATTCCATCATGTAGTGTAGATTTAGATTTGGCTCGGCGAATTGGTTTGACTCGAAGTTGGGATTCGCCGAAACCAGTGAAGCTCGGCGGTGACGAAACTGCCGAGCGGGTGACATTCGCTTACCTTGCAAACGAAGCAATCGCAATCTGAGTCAAACTGTTCGCAATGTTCTATCGCGAACAGTTTGCACACATTCAAATCTACTCCCACCACAATTTCCTCCCTCCCTCTCTCGACAGACTTAGCTATCGTAGTTCTGCCGCCTTAGTCGACATAGTACGTAGGGTAGTCGCCACACCATAGCGACCCTAGCTAGCAACCTTCCTGTTTCTTACATTACTACTTTGACAAACGTCGCGCCGTTTTGCTAACACGCTAACAGAGCACAGGTCGTCGAAAGATTTTTTTTTTTTTTAGTTTTTTCGGAAACCGTTTTCAAAGAAATTTCAACGCATATTTTTTTTTCTGACCTGCCCGGCGTACGTACACGTACGTACGCGTACGTACACGTAAACGTACATGTACGCGTACGTTACGTGTACGTGGGCTGAAATGGCGTAAATGACCAACTTAGATAACAACCCCTTCCAAAGAGCACTCAATATAGCATAACAACCCCTTCCAAAGAGCACTCAATATAGCATAACAACCCCTTCCAAACACCCACTCTAATACTCTTTGAATGTCCCACCTGGCCTCCTGCTGTGCTTCGGCGTGTGCTCGCACCGCCCTCCGAAGCTGACGAGTCCGCTCGGAACCGAAGCTTGTGCGACCGCCGAGCCCTTCCCCCCTCTGCTTGCACGCTTCCCTCCCTCTCCTCCCCGTCCCGACCCTGCGAGACAGGCGTGGCCGAGCCTGCCCTCACAGGTACGGGAGAGGGGGACGGGAGATCCCACACTGAACCTGGAGGAAAGGGAAATAGGAAAAATCAGTAGTAAAGAATCAGGTCAGGAATCCAGGATGAAAAATCCAGGTTGATAAATATTGGTTGGGGATGTAAATGGAAGAAGGGACAAAGGGGTTGTATGGGTGAGGAAGGAGAAGGATTGGCTGAGAACAGAACACTCACCACCAACAGAAGGTGTGCTGCCTCCTCCGCCATCCCACGGCGACAGCAGGCGCGAGTCAGACGGCGAGGGCGGCACAAAGGACGGCTCGCGGCGGTAAGGCGCGGGGGAGGGGGCGGGGGAAGGGGTCCAGCGGGGGGAGGGCGACGGCGAGGGCATGTCCCACTTGGACCCCCTGTTGCGGGGCGTGCTGCCTCTGTCTCTGTCCCTTTCTCTGTGCCTCTCCCTGTCTCTGTCTCTCTCCCTGCCCTCCCTGGAAGGGGTGCTGTCAGTGTCTCTGCGCGGGGTGCTGTCGTCCCAGCGTGATCTGGAGGAGCCTGATGGCACGAGAGGGAAGAACGCAGAAAGAGTTCTCCAAGCAACGGAGGAAGGAGGGGAGGGGGGCGAGGGGGGGGGGGGGTGGGGGGTCGGATTTGTTCAATTAGGAGGTTTTGGCTGTAGTTGACAAAGCAGCATATGACGATCTATCAGTTCGAGACAGTATTGGGAACCCTTAACGCATGTACAAAGGTTAGGTCCAACACCGCTGTCCAATATAGAACGTTGTTTCCTTCTCCCCATTCACCCAAAAGCCCCGCACACTCACCTTGGCGATATGAGCCCCTGTCGTAGTCCCTGTCCCGGCCACGATCGTTGCCCCGCTCCCCTCCCCTTCTCTCCTCCTCACACACCAAGGATAGGTCGATCGAACCCTGTTCAATGCGAAACATTGTCTTCATTTCCCCTTCTCACACACACAAGCCCCGCGCACTCACCTTGGCGATATGAGCCCCTGTCGTAGTCCCTGTCCCGGCCTCGATCGTTGCCCCGCTCCCCTCCCCTTCTCTCCCTGTCTCTCTCACTCTCCCTCTCCCTATCCCCATCCCTGCCCCTGTCTCTCCTGTTGCTGTCTCTTGAGTCCCAACGGCTCCCCCTACTCCCTTCCCCTCTCTCCCCATCGCCTCTCCTCCCATCCGCGTCTCCTCTGCTCCCCGCATCTGTCGCTTGGAATCAACCAGGCGTAAGCAAGCGCAGAGAGCAGCAGAGGGGTAAAGAGAATGGAACACGGTGAGGGGCCGAAACGAACCAGGACCGGAAGGGAACACGAAACGCTAAAGACGGAACTCATTTGAGGCGTCTGGACAAAAAACAAGCACTGACGCTGTTATCAGATAACAATATTGTCTATGCACAGGGAGGAAGAGGAAGACAAAGAGAGTCGGACCACCAGACTTGAGCAGTATATTTGCCTGTCATCTGTGTGCAGTACAGGATAAATGCTTTTCATCTGTGTGCAGTACAGTATAAATGCTTTTCATCTGTGTGCAGTACAGTGCATATGCTTTTCATCTGTGTGCAGTACAGTATATATGCTTTTCATCTGTGTGCAGTACAGTATATATGCTTTTCATCTGTGTGCAGTACAGTATATATGCTTTTCATCTGTGTGCAGTACAGTATATATGCTTTTCATCTGTGTGCAGTACAGTATATATGCTTTTCATCTGTGTGCAGTACAGTATATATGCTTTTCATCTGCAACCACACATTCAAGCACTTGACAAGTCAGTGAGGTTCACCACCATTCTGGACAAAACAACCTCCTTCCCGGACTGACGCCACTCACCTCCTCCATTAGTCACTAAACTAGCAGAGCCTGCCCTGTCAGCAGCACCATTTGCCATGTCAGCAGGCTCCACTCGCGTTCGTTTAGCGCCTCGGCTTGCCTCGTCAGCCTGCATTGGAAAAAGGATGTGGTGGGGGTTGGGAAGGGGGGAGACAGCGGGGGGAGGAGGGGGGAGGGAACGAGGGAAAGAGGGAAGGAAGGAAGGAGGGAGAGAGGGAGTGGGAGAGGGGCGGTGGTTGAGATCATACTCCTCTCACATACACACGCAGCCGAAATTCTGATCCATGTACGTGTGTGTGTGAGGGTGAATCCTTTTGAACTTGTGAATGCACTCGGCCAAAATGATTCACCCACACACACACACATGAATCCTCGTGCGCAGAGCAGACAGCCGTCCCTCAACCAGGCTGTGTGTGAATGAACGTACCTCGGATGTCCCAGCACCTGCGTCCCCTCGCGTGCCTTTTGAGGCGCCTCAAAAGTTTTGAGGCGCCTCAAAACTCGGCCAAAATGATTCACCCACACACACACACATGAATCCTCGTGCGCAGAGCAGACAGCCGTCCCTCAACCAGGCTGTGTGTGAATGAACGTACCTCGGATGTCCCAGCACCTGTGTCCCCTCGCGTGTCTCTGTCCGCATGTGAGGAGGCCCGACGAGGTGACTCCTGCACCCGGGGCGACGCGCCTGATAGTTCTGGCAAGGGGAAGGACACGTGGTTGGGTTGGGTGGGCGAAAGGCATGAGTGTTAACGAAGAACTGGTCAGATGCCATGAGGATGGGTTGGATGGTGAATACTTAGTTGGAATATGAGAATCGGCCACGTGGGATGAGGATCTGCCAGGTGGCATGAGGATCAGTGAGGTGGCATGGATCGTCTAGGTGGCAGGTAGTATGACACTGTGACTCACCTGTAATCGTTGACACGTGTGTGGGCGTATCATCACTCCGCGCAGAACGATACCGCCGCCTCTCCTTGCTCCCTCCTCCACCGCTCTTCTCCCCCACACTCCCTCCTCCCACTCCCTCTCCATCCCCTCTCCCCCCTCCCCCATCGTCTACGTCCGCTACCCACTTCCCGCCTCCCCCTTCCTTCCCCTCAACCGTCAACTTTTCCCCTTCATCTTCCCCCTCTTCCGCGAATCTGGCCGCTGCTACAGTAACCGGCGGCTTCTCAGGGATTCCCGCGGCTGCTCGCTTGGCTCGGGCGAGCGCGTCCAGACCTGGGGATTGCCGACGAAGGTGGGGGCAGTGGGGTGGGTGTGGTGAGAGGGAGGAGGAGGGGGGGAGGCGAATTACCTTAGAAAAATACGGGACCTACATCGCGCTTTACAAGTACATATCACGCAACTCAACCCCCGACCCATCGCATCCCATCTCAGACCTAGAAACCGCTACACAGCTTAGACAACGAACGACGCGCCGCTCACCCAAAACAGATTTTCGCTCGGCCGGGGCTTTAAAGAGCAATCGCTCTCCTCCCAGCCCGCCAGCCGGCTGCAACCCCCCTCTCTGCAACCCGCCTTTCTGTAGGCCCCCTCCCCCACCGTCATCTCCTTCACCAGGATTTGATCCTTTGAGCGACTCTTCTGACCCTTCCAGTCGAGAAACCTGCCCCGAAAACCCGGAGAGCATGGTGGAATCCGCAGGATTGTAACAAGCTTTCGGTTTGGCTAATTTGATCGCGATGTCAGACAAAACGATTCGCGTCCAGTTAGGTGTCAAGAAAGCGTCTGCATGGTGTTAAAACTGAAGGGATTAAACTCGTCAAAGCAAGAAAGCTGGAAAGGAGACTGAAAGAGAATACCGAGAGAACCTAGAGACAGTCGGGACGAGACGAACTATAGCTAGGTTGTGCAGGCAGACATCCCAAAGCACGGGCACAGTCCAGGAGTCGGACTGATACATTTTGTAGCAAGTTCTCAAACTTTACAAGTTACCGGTAGTACACCTCAAATGACCACAAAAGTGCTGGTAAATATAGCTCATAAATCAGGAATGCTCCGTTTCGTAGCACTATCTTTTCAGGCGATCTCCTATCAGATATGTTATTATATTTCATATTGTACATCTATAGGTTCAGTAAGAACTCTCATTCGTATACAAACACTTATTTTTATTAAGATCATTGTGTATGAGAAATTGGTGTCGCTTCCCATGTATGGGCCAACCCTCCCTGGATTCCTTCCTATTCATTCTAGCGAATTCACTGACTGACGAGTCTTTGCTGTAAGGGAGGAGATTAGTCCTGTCACGCTGCGCTTCGTCAGAACCCTTCGCAAGGTATTTGAGTGGAATTTTCCCTGTGGCACGGCATTGCATCTTCAATCTCGCCTCGTGCAGCCCTTCCCCATGGAAGACGATGGATTGCATCACGAATGCTCACCCCTCATCCGCTCTCCGGTATACTCTCGGCAATCCCCATACCATGTCCGTCGCTCTTCGCGAGATTGTTGCGACCTTGCACGTACCCCGATCGTCGAAGCGTTACTCGAACCTTGGGATCGACGATCAGAAACCACCGCCACCGTCAGCGACGACTGTACCACGGGATCGACGATTGCCTGCCACGTGGCACAGCCGTCCACAGACCGCAGCGCATGTCCTGGTCACGGAACGGTCGTTGTTCTCGATGACGTGGACTCTCAGGAAGCTTTCACGAAGGGGGAGCAGCCAGGGCGATGGTCATGTTCATGGTTACCAGTGTGGATAGGTCGGGATTCCGTCACAGCCATAGGACAGACTACTGGATCCCTTACAGGGAGTACTACAGGGACTGATACAGGGACTAGTATAGGGACCACTACTACCGAGTACGCTACAGGGTCCACAACAGGGATCGTTGCAGGGTCTGGAGGGCTGTGCGCGTGGGACGAGTGGCGGTGGGTGTACTCGCGGGACGGCCTTAAAGCCCTGGCTCTCGGGCAGCTCATGTCACTTCTGCTCACCGTCACCGCCACGTGTTCCGCGCTGCTGGCCGCCAGAGGTGCAAAACGATGCCACGTGGAGGTGTGCGATTCGCGGAGATGTATGATCCTTCAGCTTGTGCCGGCTCATCACACTTGTGAAACGTGTTATTGGTAACACCCTGATTGTCTCTGATTGGTGGTTCGGATGGTTGCCACGTGGCAGGAGTGAGCATCCCCACGACCCAATCGCTGCTCAACTACGTGCTGCTTGCTGCTGTGTATGGCGCCGTGCTGCTACACCGCAAGGCACCCCTCACTGTAAGGCCTTTTTGTTTACTCAAAGCACAACTCTAGCTGTTAGCACGCCTCCCTACCTATACGCACGGTACAGCTCATTATGGCGCCTTGCGCACCGCACTTCTATCACCACACTTCTATCACCACACTTCTATCACCACACTTCTATCACCGCACTTCTATCACCACACTTCTATCACCACACTTCTATCACCACACTTCTATCACCACGCTTCTTTTCACTTGTCCTCATTATTGGCTCCATCTGCTTCCAGCGCTCCTGACGAGCCTTTTGCCAATTATTGATCCTGGGTTATCTTTGTGACTGATTTCTAAGGCGCATGAGAAATCCCTTGAGCCATGTCTCTGGACGAGATGGCTTTTGAGTCGACTCAAAAGGCGCATCAGAAATCTCTTGAGCCATGCCTCTGGATGAGATTCTTGGGCGACAATCATTTCAAGGCTTGCTCCGGATTGCCGTCGTAACTGTTCACGCAAACTATCTTCTGATTGTTTGACTAAAGTTACAAGTCAACGGCTCCCTCAAATCGCCTTTCCATCTGCCTTGAATCTGTGCCCTCCTTCCCGCCACACGCCATTTCAGGTGCCGTGGCGTGTGCTCCTGCTCGCGTCTTTCCTCGACGTCGAAGGGAATTACTTTGGTGAGTGCGTGTCTTGTACTCTTATCGTGCCTGCCATGTGCCCGCGTTGTGCCCGCCGTGTGCTCATCTAATTGGTCGTTGATCCCTCTCATCTCCCTCTCATCTCCCTTTCATCTCCCTCTCATCGCTCTCTCATCTCCCTCTCATCTCCCTTTCATCTCCCTCTCATCGCTCTCTCATCTCCCTCTCATCATCTCATTCGTCTCATTTTACTTGCATCGTCTCATCTTACCCTTTCCTTTCGCTTCAGTTGTCCTGTCCACCCGTTCCCCTTCACCTCCTTGACTCGAGTCGCTCTCCTTCACTGCTTTCTGGGGTGCCCACCTGATTCACCCTTGCTGCCTCTCGTCTCTTTCCTTCCATCCCCATGCTGTCTCTCATTCCTCTCCCTCCTTCCAGTGAGTTTTTGAGAATTCTCAAAAACTTCCATCCCGATGCTGTCTCTCATTCCTCTCCCTCCTTCCACTTTGTCCCAGTCAGTATTGCTCGCCTTCCGTTTCACCTCCTTGAAAGTATGTCTCCCTGCTGGACTGCTGGGCCATCCTTCTCTCATTGCCCCTTGCTGCCTCTCATCTCATTCCTTCCCTCCCCACGCTGCCCCTCACCCCACCACTCTCCACCCCTCCCTATCCAGTTGTCCTCGCCTTCCGTTTCACCTCATTGACGCGAGTCACTCTTCTGGACTGCTGGGCCATCCCAGCCGCTATGCTGCTAGCAGCGCTCTGCCTCTCCACGCGCTACCACGCCTCCCATGTTATCGGCGCGCTGCTCTGCACGGCGGGCCTCGCCATGCTGCTGCTGTCTGACGCCGGTGAGAGCTCATAGACTTTTCCTTCTTATCCTAGACCCCTTCTGTCTCTCCACGCGCTACCATGCCATCGGCGCGCTGTTCTGCACTACCGGCCCCGCCATGCTCTTGCTCTTGGATGCAGGTGAGAACCAAGGAGACCGTCCTTTCTATTGTAGCACCCATTCTGTCCCTTCCTTTATGCCCTATCACACCTCCCACGCCATCGGCGCGCTGCTCTGCACTGCTGGCCTTGCCATGCTGCTGCTCTCTGCACTGCCAACGCAGGTGAGAGCTAAAGGGATCCGTGCTTCTCCTTGCACCTCCTCTGCCCCTCCCTTCCCGAGCTACTATGCCTCCCACGCCATCGGCTCCCTGCTTTTCTCTGCTGGTCTTGCCATGCTGCTGCTGCTCTGCACTGCCAACGCAGGTGAGAGCTGAGAGGTTGTGCTGGTAGTGGGAGGAGCTGAAAGGTTGTGTTGGTAGCGAGAGCTAAGAAGGTGTATTTCAGAGATTTGGGAACAGCATTTGAGGCAAGTCAGGGTCGCACTGGCAGCAGACGTGGGAGGGTGTGCGTATATCCCTGCAGCCCATGTGTCCCTCTCCTCTTTTCACGCACTGCCATGTCTGTTATACCTTAGGTGAGCTGCTCTGCGCTTCCGCCCTTGCAGTGCTGATCCTCTTTCGACCGATGCAGTTGGGAAGTGAGAGGTTGTGTTGGTAGCGGCAGGGTTCAGATTGCGTTTTTGAGAATTCAGATGGCTGGCTGGGAGTAAAGAGAGGGGGGGGAGAAGGGGGAGAGGGGGAGAGAGAATAGCAGCAACTGAGAGGGCGTGCGTGGTCTTAGCATCCTTTCTCCCAGCACTCATCCTCTGTGTAGCAACGCTTCAAGCAGCGACGCTCCCAGGCACCTCGCATCTTGCAGCTGTCCTCCCTTCTCTCCTTTTCCCCACGCCCGTCGAACACACAGACGGCACTGCCAGTGGCAGCAGCAAGCAACGCTCCATGGAAATCATTCTTTAGAATTCTCCAAAGTGATTTTCACTGCCAGTGGCAGCAGCAGCAACGCTCCCAGCCGTCACGCACCTTGCAGCTCTGCTCCCACCTCTCAGACCTCCCTTGATTCTCGCCCCCGCCCTCCTCCCCTCCTCTACCCACCGCCCTCCCTCACTCACTCACAGGCCCATCCAAGCACGGAGGCAGCAGCACTGCCATTGGCAGCAGCAGCAGCAACTCGACTTTGGGGAATGTGCTTGTGCTTCTCGGTGCCACTCTGTATGCTGCTTCCAATGTGACTGTGGTGAGCGCTGCGGCAATTCCACTCTATGTCCGCTGTCAGAATGTGTCGGTGGTGTGAGTGTGTGCTGAGTGCGTGGTGAGTGCGTGGTGAGTGCGTGGTGAGTGCGTGGTGAGTGTGTGGTGAGTGCGTGGTGAGTGCGTGGTGAGTGCGTGGTGAGTGCGTGGTGAGTGCGTGGTGAGTGCGTGGTGAGTGCGTGGTGAGTGCGTGGTGAGTGCGTGGTGAGTGCGTGGTGAATGTGTTGTGAGCATCCCACCGTGCACCTTTTCTTGGATGGCCACACATATGCATTTTCTGCATGGATGAATCCCTACCCCCACACTCTTTCTCTTTCTCTTGTCTCCAGTGCCCCGCCTCTCACAGGAGTACCTTGCGCATCGAGTGGAGACAACAGAGCTGCTGGCCTTCTTAAAGTGCACGAGATGGCTTTTGAAAACCCGAAACCCTGCCACACTTTCTTTCCCCAAATGCCCCTCCTCTCTCCCACAGGAGTATCTTGCGCATCGAGTCGAGACAACAGAGCTGCTGGCGTTCATTGGTTGCGCGGGATCCCTCATTAGCTTCACACAGCTGTAAGCGCACTATCTCAGTACCTCATTAGTAGAACATGTGTGTGAGAGCACCGTCGCCATCCAACCCTTGTATCGCACTTGGATACCTCCATTGCGCCGACTCATAATTCGATTAAGTACCTCGATAGTATCACACGGCGGTCATTGGCATTCAACCTTTGTACAGCACGTGGATACGCCAGTCAATGTGTGCAGTGCAGTGTGTGCACAGCACAGCACACATGTGTTCTAGTCGACTCATAACTCATCATTGCCATCCATCCTTTGTAGCACGTGGGTACGTCACTCCATGTATGCATTGTTTGCTAACATGTATGGCTGGTGTTTCGTAACTCGTCTATCCTCGCGCACTCTTATTTCTCCCCATTGCATCCGCCTATCTCCCCCCCACACCCATCTGCCCGATGCAGACTTCTCCTGGAGGGAGCAGACCTGCACTCCCTGCACTTTGATGCCCACACTGTATGCTCAATGCACTCACATAGTTGGATGCCACAATATCTCACCATTTACTTTCTCTCACTATTTAGTTTCCCTCATTACCTACTCTCTGTGACTACATGTTCTAGAACTGCTTACTTTTTATGACTCTCTACCCATCTGATATCAAGGCTACCCTATTTCCTAGCTCCCCAGCCTGCTGCTAGTGTCCCACATGCTTGGCTGGGGGAAGTTCTGCTTGGCTGTTATGTATAGCTTCTGGTTGTTCTACATCCACATGTGCGCATTGATTTTCTGTGTACAGATGTCGCACATCTATGTTTCCTCCTAAGCCACCCTTCCCTTTCTCCTCGGTACATCCCTCCGCCCCTCACTCAAACCACAGGTCCTCCCCATGGTGCTCTTCTCGATCGCCCTCTTCGCCTTCTACTCCCTCACTCCCCTCATGCTCCGTGTAAGCTCCCCAAACACAACTGCTCTATGTGCACTTGAATGTGTGTGTGTGTGTGTGTGTGTGTGTGTGTGTGTGTGTGTGTGTGTGTGTGTGTGTGTGTGTGTGTGTGTGTGTGTGTGTGTGTGTGTGTGTGTGTGTGTGTGTGTGTGTGTGTGTGTGTGTGTGTGTGTGTGTGTGTGTGTGTGTGTGTGTGTGTGTGTGTGTGTGTGTGTGTGTGTGTGTGTGTGTGTGTGTGTGTGTGTGTGTGTGTGTGTGTGTGTGTGTGTGTGTGTGTGTGTGTGTGTGTGTGTGTGTGTGTGTGTGTGTGTGTGTGTGTGTGTGTGTGTGTGTGTGTGTGTGTGTGTGTGTGTGTGTGTGTGTGTGTGTGTGTGTGTGTGTGTGTGTGTGTGTGTGTGTGTGTGTGTGTGTGTGTGTGTGTGTGTGTGTGTGTGTGTGTGTGTGTGTGTGTGTGTGTGTGTGTGTGTGTGTGTGTGTGTGTGTGTGTGTGTGTGTGTGTGTGTGTGTGTGTGTGTGTGTGTGTGTGTGTGTGTGTGTGTGTGTGTGTGTGTGTGTGTGTGTGTGTGTGTGTGTGTGTGTGTGTGTGTGTGTGTGTGTGTGTGTGTGTGTGTGTGTGTGTGTGTGTGTGTGTGTGTGTGTGTGTGTGTGTGTGTGTGTGTGTGTGTGTGTGTGTGTGTGTGTGTGTGTGTGTGTGTGTGTGTGTGTGTGTGTGTGTGTGTGTGTGTGTGTGTGTGTGTGTGTGTGTGTGTGTGTGTGTGTGTGTGTGTGTGTGTGTGTGTGTGTGTGTGTGTGTGTGTGTGTGTGTGTGTGTGTGTGTGTGTGTGTGTGTGTGTGTGTGTGTGTGTGTGTGTGTGTGTGTGTGTGTGTGTGTGTGTGTGTGTGTGTGTGTGTGTGTGTGTGTGTGTGTGTGTGTGTGTGTGTGTGTGTGTGTGTGTGTGTGTGTGTGTGTGTGTGTGTGTGTGTGTGTGTGTGTGTGTGTGTGTGTGTGTGTGTGTGTGTGTGTGTGTGTGTGTGTGTGTGTGTGTGTGTGTGTGTGTGTGTGTGTGTGTGTGTGTGTGTGTGTGTGTGTGTGTGTGTGTGTGTGTGTGTGTGTGTGGTGTGTGTGTGTGTGTGTGTGTGTGTGTGTGTGTGTGTGTGTGTGTGTGTGTGTGTGTGTGTGTGTGTGTGTGTGTGTGTGTGTGTGTGTGTGTGTGTGTGTGTGTGTGTGTGTGTGTGTGTGTGTGTGTGTGTGTGTGTGTGTGTGTGTGTGTGTGTGTGTGTGTGTGTGTGTGTGTGTGTGTGTGTGTGTGTGTGTGTGTGTGTGTGTGTGTGTGTGTGTGTGTGTGTGTGTGTGTGTGTTTACAGATATTCAATTGTCCACCACCTAGCTTATCATGTGTGCGCTTAAGCTGAATACCACTTCACATTACTGTGCACTATCTTCTCATGCTTGACTCATTCCCTGCTTTCACTGACCCCTCGTCCTGCCCCTTGCCGATCCCCCTTCCCCATCTAACCAGCTGGGCGGCGCCGCTCTCTTCAACCTCTCCCTCCTCACATCAGACCTCTGGGCGGCGGGAGTGGCGGCTCTTGTCTTTAACCAGCCTGTGAGTCAGCGCTTTCGAGTCTTAAAGACTTGAGCTCTGAGTTTTTCTGTCAAGGCTTTTGAGTAATATGTCATTTGAGGCTTTTGTCTACAAGCAAGTTATTTGTGTTGCCAAGCGGGAATTGGATGCTGTGCATGCTCACTGACCATGCAGAAATTTTCTGCTGTTTTGCAGGTTGAGAGCATTTATTTCACTTCTCTTGCGGTGGTTTCTGTGGGCCTAGTAATTTTCAGCTTGAGATGATGTACACAAAAAAAAAGCTGTATGTTTCTAGTACACTCATTGAAGTTGGAGTTATATTTTCCTTGTTCCTTATCCGCATGGGTTCCTGGTACCATCGCGATTGGCGGGAAACGCTTACTGTGTTGGTTGGCCAGGTATTCTGAGTTGACAGTAACCTACGATTATGTTTTGAGGCAGCTTGGAAGCTTCGGTCCCCTTTGAAAAATGCTCCAGGGACTGAGGGGTACTTGTGGATTGTAACCTGTCTGTTTCGCCGATAAGCTGTTCTTAGTGTTGGTGACAACTCACAGCTAGATCTTTCGAATAGTGCACGGGAATTATAACGAGTGGCGGAGATCTGAGGACGGGTAGCCGTAGGGTGACGTGGTTATGCAACCTTCACAATCCGTGCTTATGGATCAGATTCCCTTTTTTGTTCAGCCCGATTCAGGGCATATGCCCAGAACAAACATATTTCATTATCCTGTCTCAATTGCTGACAGGCGGCTCCAGACACCACCCCTGCGCTTCGATGTCAGCGAGGCAATTTCGTGATTTAGTTTCGTTTTGGCGCTCCGACGACAGTGATGCTTTACAGTACCACCCTTGCCTCGTTCTTTCCTTGCCACTCCTCTGTGAGGAAGTCGACATCAAAACTGGACCTACGGTGCTAGACGCACTGTACATTCCACACCACACCAGCCCACGCTTACCGAGACTGCTGCGGCGTTCTCGAGGCTGCGCGGGTTGGAGTCATCGATCCAACCATTAGGTCTATTTCGGAGCGTCGAATGAGCAGGCTTCTTATCCCGCAGCCGCCTTCTCGGCTCGAAGACGCAGAAACGCCGAGTGTACATAGCTTGTGAAGCGTACTTCGCAGTTTCACACTTAACGTCTTGGGAACAGTTCTGTTTAGTCGTAAAAACGATTCGCAAGAAGCAGTCTAAACAAGGCCCTGCCTCCCATCGTCAGCAACTGCATACGAGTGAATAGTTGTCTTGCGTTCGATCTCAAAGCGGGAGCACTGTGGGAGTCACTTCTAAGAACTCTCAAATCGAGAACACTGTGTCGGCCGGTCAGAAGATCCATGGCGAGCAATACGGGTCTGAATGTTCGCGCCCACGCCCTTGGCATTCTCCTCGCATGCATCGCCCTCTCAGGTGTGGTCCCCACAAGTGACTCCAGGTGACCCCAGAGGCTACCCAGGGGTAACCACTTGTTGCATGGGTATTTACCCTACAGAATGAGTTTAGGACCTCGGAAGTGGTGCAAGAGTCATCGAACTGCCCTCCTTTCCACCATGCGGCCCTGGGGTGCGTTAGAAAGTACAATCGGCGCGCAGCAGTGCTCAGTGCCTCATATCTCCGTTACAATCGGCGCGCAGCAGTGCTCAGTGCCTCATATCTCCGTTACAATCGGCGCGCAGCAGGGCTTTATGTGTGGACTCAGAAGAGAGCGTTCAACTGTCTCGGTTCCTTCTTCCATCGTGCAAGCACCCCGAGAGTGGCCGCATGGGCCACTTTCAATCGGCGCGCAGTGTTCCACGCCCTCATCTCCTCGTTCCATCTGTCCGCAGGCACCCTGGGAGTGACGGCGCAGCCCTCGCTCCGGTGGCGCAAGGCGCTCAACGTGTCGACCGTGTTTAACGCCGCCAAGTTCGGAGCGGGCACGCAGAGCACTCGCAGCGGCTTCATCGGCCTGCCTTACAGTATGCTCCGCACCCCTCCCGCCCCTCTCGCCCCTTTCGCCCCTGCCACCCCTCCCGCCCCTCTCACCCCTGTCGCCCCTGCCACCCCTGTCGCCCCTGCCACCCCTGCCGACCTTGTCGCTCCCGTCGTCGCTATCGCATGCTTGGTAGCAGGCATGGCCGTGTTGCATGTGTTAGCTTCCATTCTCTCACGCCCCCCACCGCCACTTTATCCCGCCACCCCAATCCGTGTATATCCAGCGACGTTTATTCCGTCACCTACTATCCTCCCCCAGTTGAGTGGAAGGCGGGCTGAGCGGAAGGCAGGTATTCTTGACTTCCTTTTCTCTATCTCCACCTTTTCTTCCTGGCAGGGGAGGTGTACGCGAAGCTCACAGGCAAGGCCGTTCCGGGCTCCAAGGGGGACAAGGGAGCACATGGATGGCTCGATATCAACATCTACAAGTGAGTGCGCTTCTACAGGGTACATACGAGCTGTATGTTCAAGCTGGGCAGCGGTTGCCCTTCATTGTGCATGCATCCTTGGACCTTCCTAGGTTCTCATACAATCCATAGCAGCTCGGGTTTTCCCTTACCCCTCTTTCCATCCGTCACCCCTCCCGCCATTCCCTCTCCATCCTATCCTTGGTCTAGCCTTTTCATGGCTGATTTATATACCCTTTGCGTGCTCTTTTGTACTCTATCCCATCTGCTTACTTTTTCACTTCCATTCTGCTCTCACGACATCCCCAAACAGATGGAACAGTGAATACAACATTCGCTTCTTCACTTCCACCTTGGGACTGTCGCGCAACGAGGTGCCCCTATCAGTCAGCATCCACCGCGGAAACCCTAAACGCGACGGCACGGGCGACACCAACGTCGTTCTCTCCTTCGACTCGCTACAAGCAGCCTCGGGTGCAAATACAGGTTACACCTCTGCAGGTTCGTCGACCCTTTCATTTCCGTGGTTGGCTGTTGACCCAACGCCCATGCAGCGGTTACGCGGTTACAAGGGGTACGAGTTTATGCAAGAGGGTTCAGTGCGGAAGGCGCGGGGTGTACAAGTAGACTCTACGGGCAAGTCGTTGCGCAAGTTACTGGATGAGCTTATAAAGAGGCCGGGAAAGTTCTATGTGGTGGTGAAAACGCCCTCGTTTCCCAATGGGGCTGTGCTCGGACGCATGCAAGGCTCGCTGGTTACAAAGTTACTACACTGAGTATCCGGGGGTGACTGACTGGTTACAAAGTTACTACACTGAGTGTCCGGGGGTAACTGATTGGTTAGAAAGTTACTACACTCAGGGGTTACAAAGTTACTACACTGAGTTTGGTGACTGACGTGTTACATACAGATAGTTGCTTGCATTGCATCACACTGAGTGTAAGGGGCTCGTTGGTTGGAGGGTCGTGGCGCTGGATTTGCTTTGCCCCTGTTGTCAGCTGTTTGGATTGCATGATGCAGCTTTTCTGCCATGTACGTCAGCAGCAGCAAGACTCTGCAGGTTGTCAACACAACAGCTTTTGTATGACAGTCAGAACGGTATCCTGGTGCACATTTTTGTGGGCAGTTAATGTGTTGCCGAGTTACCATCATGCTAGGTTGCATTGCATCTCCCAACACACCAGACATGAACATGGTACTGCTAAATGCCAAGTGTTTTTCTGGATGTAACCTTATAGTTAACACACTGCTACAAAGCATAGCACTTACAAGGTAGAATCAGCAATAGCAAGCATCAAACAGTACACTAACCCTTCTAGTGTTCATCATCATCAGAGGCATTCTCCAGCGAGTATTCAACCACCTCGGTATCTGAACTGAACTGCACAACAAATTACCGTAGGTATCATAGGAAAAAGCACTCGACTCAAACAGTTCTCACGAGTGGCATTTCTGATGTGGGTGGCCATTCAACTCGTGTAATTCGATCATGGTGTTCATGGGCCGCCTCAAATGCTCATGCGCGGTGGTTGTGGCACAGGAAGCACAGCGCAGCAAAGGCGGTGACGCGGCAGAAGATGCAGAAGCAGAGGAGGAAGAGCCAGTCCCAGTGCACAGCACTGCGTGCCGACTTGGTGGCGAGGGGACCAGGAAGTTCCATTCCATAGATACTCGGGGCCTCTGATGGGGTTGAGACAAATCTACGGCTTAAATATGGTAGTTGTGGGTGTTGAGGCAAGTCAGCTCAGCACGCCTATAAGTCTCATGCCCGGTGGTTATGGCGCAGGAAGCGCAGCGCAGCAAAGGCAGTGACGCGGCAGAAGACGCAGAAGCAGAGGAGGAAGAGCCAGTCCCAGTGCACAGCACTGCGTGCCGACTTGGTGGCGACGAGGAAGTTCCACAGATACTCAGGGCCGCTGATGGGGTTGAGGTACCACTTGCAGGGACAGCTGTCGCAGGCTGAACTGGTGCCGGGGCAGCCCGGAATGGTGCACTCCGGTGCAGAGGTGTCGCAGTAGTAGGCTGTTGCTGTGAGGCCGTTCAGGGCGTACTGCGTGGGGGAACGGGGATAGGGGCAGAGGGGGAGAAGGATGGGGAGAGAGGGGAGAGAGGGATGAGGACAGAGGGGAGGAGAGGGATGAAGACAGAGGGAAGGAGAGGGATGAAGACAGAGGGAAGGAGAGGGATGAAGACAGAGGGAAGGAGAGGGATGAAGACAGAGGGAAGGAGAGGGATGAAGACAGAGGGAAGGAGAGGGATGAAGACAGAGGGAAGGAGAGGGATGAAGACAGAGGGAAGGAGAGGGATGAAGACAGAGGGAAGGAGAGGGATGAGGACAGAGGGAAGGAGAGGGATGAGGACAGAGGGAAGGAGAGGGATGAGGACAGAGGGAAAGAGAGGGATGGGGGTAGAGAGGAGAGAGGGGAGATTGGTGCAGAGGCGATGCCACAGGAGTTGAGAGAATCCTGACAAGTGACTACACTGTGCCTGGACAACAGTAGGTCTGTAGGCCAGGAAATGGTTGCAGGGAGAAAGATTGAGGAGGGAAGACAGGCCTGGTATGGGAAGGATGGGTGATGGGAGGAGTGCAGCGAAGAAGAAGAGAGAGAAAGGGGCGGTGATTGGTAAAGCTGGAACCTCAGGGGACTAGCGGATGTGCAGTTTCATCCCGCATCAACAGCACCATGACAGAAGAGCCGGAATCGGCATTCCCAGCCAGACAATTTACCTCTGAGTCACATTGCAAGAGAAATGCTGCTGTGAATTGGGTCGGCATGGCTAGTAGATGGCAGCTGCCTGGAACTGGTTCAGTAGCGGTGACAATACTGGACCAACCTCATTCAATAGAAGTACCACCCGGTCAGTAAATGATGAGTCTGTGAACCAATAAGTAGTGCAACAAACCTGAATGGGGTTGGTCCAGTAGACAGCGAGAACGAAGTATTGTTGAGAGGTCTCAAAAGTGGTCTACTTACTCACGGAATTCATGTTAATAAGTAGTGCAACGAACCTGGATGGGGTTGGTCCAATAGACGGCGAGGAAGAAGTTTTTGGTGAAGGCGTAGGGCAGGAAGAAGCCACACGTCGCCACCCACGCCGTGATGAAGAAGGAAATCACCACTGCCCCGTACTGTGGTCAGGGGCGTGGGGAGGGACAGGGAGGGCGGGGGGTGGGGATGGGGATGAGGGGTGTATGGCGTGTGATGAGTAGGAGACCAACGCTGTGGCGCACTGTAAGTGTGGGGAGTGGGAGGGGAAGGGAAGGGAGGGGGGAATGGGGGGGATGAGGGTTCTGTGGCTTGGGAATGAACAGGGCAGAAAGAAACGGCACAATGCCAGACAACCCATGCAGTGATGAGGAAGGAATGCGCCATTGCTGCGTACTGTGGGAGTGGGGTGGGGAAGAACATGGGGGCAAGGGCAGGGGAGAAGGAGGAAGAGTAAACGTGTGCCCTTGTGGTTACCCGCCATCCATCATCCATCATCCATCATCCATCATCCACTATTCATGCTGTGATGACCAATGGCATGGCACCACCTCACTTATGCCAGCAACTGTGAGTGTAGGACTCAAAAATCTGGCGAGATGTTGTGAGATGACCTTTGAGTCAGCTTAGAAGGAACAAAACAGACATTGTAGGGGCAGAAAGGCTTTTGAGTCGACTCAGAACTAATCTCACACCAGGCAGGGTAGGGGAGAAGAAAGGACCTGGCAGAATTGTGGGATGCCTCTGAACAGTACGGGTTTGGTTCGGGCAGTATAATGGGAGAATTATTAAGTGCTTCTCATCTCAGGGGATGAGTGAATAGCAATAGCAGCTTGGGAACAGAACAAGTAAGAGTACCATGGGTTGGGGCAGCAACTTAGGGTAGGAGTAACACAAGAGAGACGGGGGGCAGCAACACCTTGGGCTGGGGAAGGACCATGGAGAGAAGCAAGGCAAAGTAGGTGACGGAGAGGGCAGCAAGGAGCGTGCGACCAAAAGGGAAGAACGCCCCTGTGCTGCGACCAAAAGGGATGACCGCCCCTGTGCTGCGACCAAAAGGGATGAACGCCCCTGTGCTGCCCACCCACCCACCCACTGCCAGCCCTGCTAGTGTTTTTTGAGAATTCTAAAAAAACGCTAGTGGGAGGGAAGCTGGTTGCTTCGAATTCTGGAAAACCAGCTTGTCTCACCTTGGGGTGGGGCAGCAGCACAGAGAGCATGAAGCCAAAGTAGGTGACGGAGAGGGCAGCCAGGAACTGCGTGAGGCCAAAGGAGAAGAAGAGCGTCGCGCTGCTCACTGCCAGGCCTGCCAGTGGCGCTGCCACTGACACGAGTGCGAGGGAGGTGAGCAGCAGGTAGGGGATCTGCGCGGGGAAGAGGAGAAAAGGAGAAGCGGGGGATGAAGGCGGTTATGATGGAATGCCACTGCTAGCCCTGCCAGTGGTGCTGCCACTGGCACGAGCGTGAGCGAGGAGAGCAGCAGGTAGGGGATCTGCGCGGTGACGGGAGAGAGGGTGGGGAGAGGGGGCGGAGAGGGAGGGGGGGGAGAGAAACAGGCAGTTTGTAAAAGGCTGCCCACCGCCGGCCTTGCCAGTGGCGCTGCCACTGACACGAGCGCGAGGGAGGTGAGGAGCAGGTGGGGGGTCTGCGAGGGGGAAGGAAAGGGGAGAGAATACGGAAGAGAGGAAAGAGTGGAAAAGTTCTATTAAAATCACATTTGAGAATTCTCATAACTGATTTCAAGGTAGACATGAGCAACGGGCGAACACCAAGCATGTTCACGCGAACCTGCACGAACATGTTCACGCGAACCTGCACGAACATGTGAGTGGGGAAGTTCAAGCTACTGCTGCCCACCGCCAGGCCTGCTAATGGTGGTTATACGGCTACGGGCATGAGGCAAGTGAACCGAAGGTAGAGGATCAGAGGGTTTAGGGGAAAACAGAGGAAACTCAAAGTGCTGGCTGTACACAGGGTCATGTGCAAACAGTACTCTGCCAAACAAGCAACCACTGACTGTTTCACCTCAACCACGGTGTACCCCAGCGTGTAGAGGAAGGCAAAGTGCTGGTTGTACGTGCGCTCCTGGGAGGACACATTCTTGGTCTGATTCACCAGCCCCACCTCCGTGCCTGTGTGTGTGTGAATGCCATGCAACAGCTGCCTCACCTCAACAACCGTGTAGCCCAGCGTGTAGAGAAACGCAAAGTGCTGGTTGTAGATGCGCTCCTGGGCGAACACCTTCTTGGTCTGATTCACCAGACCCACCGCCGTGCCTCCGCGTGTGTGTGTGTGAACGCCATGCAACAACAATCTCACCTCAACCACGATGTACCCCAGCGTGTGATCAAACGGAAAGTGCTGGTTGTGCACGCACGCACTCTCGCAATTCAGTACATGCTATGCTGGCCGGACAAGCAAACACGGTCTCACCTCAACCACGGTGTAGCCCAGCGTGTAGAGGAAAGCAAAGTGCTGGTTGTAGATGCGCTCCTGGGTGAACACCTTCTTGGTCTGATTCACCAGCCCCACCGCCGTGCCTCCGTGCAGCGTCGTGCCGAACGCCAGCACTGCGAAGGGGAACGCCTGCGCTGTGGTGGCCTGCACAAGAGACGTGGGGCGCACAGGGGGTTGGTTGGTGGGAGAGGAGGGGTGCAAAAGGGAGCAGATCAGAATGGCCAGCCCCCCACTCTCGTGCCTCCGTGCCGCGTCGTGCCGAACGCCAGTACTGTGAGGGGAACGCCTGTGCTGTGGTGGCCTGTGGGGGGGTGTGCCGGGTGGAATAAAGAAGTGGGAGTGGGGCAGGAAGGAGCCAGTGCGCATGAGCAGAGAGTGGTACCGCCGTGGACTGACGTGCCGAACGCCAGCACTCACCGGGGGGGTCACTCACTCACCTGCAGCAGGTTGTGCCCCTCACCTGCAGCAGGTTGTGCCTCTCACCTGCAGCAGGTTGTGCCCCTCACCTGCAGCAGGTTGTGCCCCTCACCTGCAGCAGGTTGTGCCCCTCACCTGCAGCAGGTTGTGCCCCTCACCTGCAGCAGGTTGTGCCCCTCACCTGCAGCAGGTTGTGCCCCTCACCTGCAGCAGGTTGTGCCCCTCACCTGCAGCAGGTTGTGCCCCTCACCTGCAGCAGGTTGTGCCCCTCACCTGCAGCAGGTTGTGCCCCTCACCTGCAGCAGGTTGTGCCCCTCACCTGCAGCAGGTTGTGCACGGGGTACTCACCTGCAGCAGGTTGTGCACGGGGTACTCACCTGCAGCAGGTTGTGCACGGGGTACTCACCTGCAGCAGGTTGTGCACGGGGTACTCACCTGCAGCAGGTTGTGCACGGGGTATTGATAGAAGAGCGAGCCGATGAGGAGCCCGAGGATGGAGGACTGGATGATGCGGTTGAGGGAGTGCGAGGTGTTGCGCCAGTAGAAGAGGTGGATGCTGTACTGCACCGCCATCAGCTTGCGCCACGGGCTCGGGAGCTTCACTGCCACGGGCGGCAGCGCGGGCATGAGGAGGAGCGGCTCGGCTGGCGTGGCTTCTTCGTTGGGGGTGCTTTCTGCTTCCGCTGCTGCTGTTGCCGCTGCTTCCGCTTCTGCTGCTGCTGCTGCTGCTGCAGCTGCGGCTGCTGCTGCGTGGGATTCTGCTGCGTTTGACACTATCGCAGCTGCTGCTGCAGCGGATGCTGCTCGGCGTCGAATCATGCCTTTGGCTTTCAGCCACCCTCCTCCACCCCCTCCTCCTTCTCCCTCTCCCTCCGCAGACTCACTTCCAGTCAGACCAGCAGCAGCAGCAACAGCCGCAGCAGCAGCAGCACCGGTGTCACGCCCGCTCACTGACCCTGCTAAGGCTTCTGCCCCCTTGGCTGCTATTGCTTCTTCCTGCTCCAACGCAGCAAGGGACCACGCTGAGTCAGACGCCACCATTGCCAGGCTGGCGCTCTCGTGCTCCATGCCACCCGCTCCTGATTCAACGAATCCCCTCCCACTCTCACCACCGCCACTAGCGGCGGCAGCAGCAGCATCCCTGCCCATTGACTTGGCAGCCTCGAGATTGGCAGCAGCGGCGTGGTCAGCAAAGGCGGCAGCAGCAGCAGCGCCGCCGCGGCGGAGAGCGGAGAGGCGGTGGGCGTTGAGCATGGCGAGATCGGAGACGCGGTACTCCACGGCGTAGTCGCACGCGGTGGCGCGCTGCCGGGTGGCAGTGGCGTCGTCCCCCAGCAGGTGCTCGATGAATATGATGGGGTTCGTGTGTGGCGGCACTGGGGGCGTGCCCGGAATGGCTGAGAAATACTCCTGCAGGGAGGGGGAAGGGAGGAAGGAAATAAGGGCACGCAGGGGGTATGGGGGGGGAGTTGAGGGGATTGGAGAGGCGGTGAGCGTTAAGCATGAATGTAAAGGGATTTGTGTGGGGGGGCACTGGGGGCGTGCCTGGGATGGCCGAGAAATACTCCTGCAGGGGGAGGAGGAGTGTGGGGTAACAGAGGGGATGGTGGGGGGTGTTATGGAGTCAAGCTAGGGGGAATTACAGTATCCGCAGTTCGGAACTTCACACAACGACCTACCCAGTCTGACTGAACCACTAGAACAAAGGCAGCATCTCATCTCATCGTCACGAGTGCTTTGTGTTTCTTTCCACAGGGCCAAAGTCAACCAACCATGTCCCCACCCCACAATCCCTCCCGCGCATGTTTCCCCACTGCTGCTTTTGAATCGCTGGTTTGAGTTGTTGCCTTGGAGCTGCCTCAAAAGCTGCTTCATCTCATTCACTCACCACGAGAGCGTTGCCGTTCCTCCCTGCAGGCCCAAAGCAGACCATGTCGCCCCCGCGGCCCAGCATGAGCAGCGAGTGCATTTCCACGGCCCAATCACCGGCACCCGCTGGTCATGCCCAAGTGCATTCCCGTCCGTTCCTCCCCGCAGGCCCAAAGCAGACCACGCCGACCCCACGCCGAGTGGAAGGCGTTGAGATGGAAGTTGCACTATCCCACTCACTCACCACGAGCGGCATGCCTCGAACGCTGCGTCATTCCACTCACCACCAGTGCGTTCCCATTCCTGCCCGCGGGCCCAAAGTAGACCATGTCCCCCCCGCTGCCCAGCATGAGCAGCGAGTGGAAGGCGTTGAGATGGAAGGCGGTAACCGCGTTCGACACCACCACCATCGCTCTCCCCCATGCTGCCGCCACGTGCTGTTGGGAGGGAGGGGCGCGATAGCATGGGGTATGGGGGAACAAGTGGACATGGTGTGATGAAGTGACATAATTGAACAGCATCAGATGTGCTTTCATAGATTGTGCACATTGACTCATGCATCTCACCTCACCTCAGCATGCCTGAGAATCTCGCCGGCTTTCAGACATTTCCAGCAAGAAGCAGGGAGCAGCAGCGAGCAGCAGCGAGCAGACGTTTTTATTTTTTTCCTCCGCTGCTGCTTGCTGGAAATGTCTGGAAATCGACTCAAGCATCTTACCTTGAGCATGCCGGGACACTTGGCCACCTTAGTGGTGTCCATGCGGAGGAACGGCACGTCAAAACCACCACACTGTCGTTTTGAGGCGCCTCAAAAGTCGTCAAACACACCACACTGTCCCACCCAGCCATCTCCATCGTAAACACAACCCCTCAGGCCCCTTTGCAATCGCTGTATGCCCCAAGTATCGCAGTGGTATCCATGCGCAGTGGTATCCATGCGCAGTGGTATCCATGCGCAGAAACGGCATGTCAAAGAACGAGGTGACTTTTGAGTCGACTCAAAAGTCATCTGTATGCCCCAAGTATCGCAATGGTATCCATGCGCAGAAACGGCATGTCAAAGAACACGACGCTCCGGTTTTGGATTACCTTGACTCGACTGGACCTCAACCTGTCCGGGCTCGCACCTTGAGCATGCCGGAGAACTTAGCCACTTCAGTGGTGTCCATGCGGAGGAACGGCATGTCAAAGAACACAACGCTGGGGTTGCCCGCCATCTCCATTGCAAACACAATCCGCTTCTCCACATACGCCGACCCCACGCCGTCCGCCAGAATATCCTGCACCAGACTGTCCGTCATGCCGCCCTTGAACTCCGTAAGAGACAAGATCTGCGCGACGAACGCGCGGCGTTGCTCGTCTTGCACTTGGTCGGGGAGAGTGAGGGTGGTGCGGTACAGCAAGCTCTCTCGGAGGGTGAGCAGCGGGTAGAGGAGGTCGGCACCTTGGATGTACGCTGTGGTGCGCAGGAATGATGGGAGCTCCCTTGGCTTGCCGTTCACCAGCAGTCGGCCATTCACCTTGCCTGGTATCTTGCGACCTGCAGGTTTAGCAGGGGGGGAGGAGAAAGAAGGGGATGAAACGGCAGGTGTGACTTTCGAGCTGCCTCAAAAAGCGTGAGGGTGGCGCGGTACAGCAGGCTCTCTCGCAGGGTGAGCAGAGCAGCGGGTAGAGGAGGTCAGCGCCTTGGATGTACGCTGTCGTGCGCAGGAACGAGGGGAGGTCCCTTGGCTTGCCGTTCACTAGCAGACGCCCGGCCACCTTGCCGGGTATCCGGCGACCTGCGGGTGTGGGATGAGAGGAGAAAGAACGAGATGAGAAGCCAGGTCATGATTCTGAAGAACGAGATGAGAAGCCAGGTCATGATTCTGAAGAACGAGATGAGAAGCCAGGTCATGATTCTGAAGTCGATTTGATAATCGCCGCTGCAAGGCGCCCCAAAGGGAGGGAGAGCGGTGCGGTACAGCAGGCTCTCTCGCAGGGTGAGCAGAGCAGCGGGTAGAGGTGGTCAGCGCCTTGGATGTACGCTGTGGTGCAAAGGAACCACCGGAAATCTCTCTACTCGCTGCTCATCAGCAGGCGCCTGGTCATTAGTTTTGAGGCGCCTCAAAACCCGGTCTTGCGGCCCGTGGGCGACTTTTGAGGCGCCTCAAAAGTCGCCTCAAAAGTCGCCTCAAAAGGCACCTCAAAACCCGGTCTCTCGGCCTGTGGGACAGGGAAGCAGGGTATGCGGGCAGAAAAAGGGTTGGATTGAGTTCTGAAGTGTCTCAAAACTGCTGGCGAGGGAAGCAGGGGGGAAGGCAGAAAGGAAAGGGGGCGCAGCAGTTGATGCCCTGAGAGAGAAGGGATGAAAGTGGAAGGTAAGGAATGATGCCCGTCTGAAAAAAAAGGTGGAGCAGCAGAGAGAGGGTATGAAAGAGGAAGAAATGAATGATGCTGACCAGAAGAGGGAGGCAAGGGAGTTGACTTGACCTCACGGTGATCAAGGTTCAAGAATGATCCTCAGGCCAACCAATTAGAAACAGATGCGCACACCTATCCTGCAAAGCAGATGAGCCGAGTCTAGGTCAATCTGTCTGTCTCAGTCTATTTCAGTCTATTTTTAGTGTATTTCAGTCAGTCTCAATCTCTTTCTGTCTATTTTAGTATATTTCAGTCAGTCTCAGTCTATTTCAGTCTATTTTAGCATATTTCAGTCAATCTCAGTCTATTCCGGTCTAATTCAGTCTATACCTGAGGCACCTCCTCAGATCAAGCAAGCCTGCCCACCTGCGAGGCAGTTGAGCAGAGTGGTCTTGCCGGTGCCCCTGGCGCCTGTCACAGCTGTCACCTCCCCCGGTTTCACCCACCCCGTCACCCCCCGCACCAGGCACCGACTCGCCTCACTCCGCCTCCTCGCCTCCCCACCAGCGCCCACCGAAGAAGACTTCCCCCAGGCAGCCTCGGGCGGGCAGGGCAGCGGCACGGAGCAGGAGAGGTTTTCAAACGTGATGATGTACGGGGTGAAGGGAATGTTGCAGTCCATGATCGCTGCCTCTGCTGCCCCTGCTGCCTCTGCCGCTGCTGCCGCCGCTGCCACTGCTGCTTCTTCTGCTGTTGAGCTTCCATGGCCGTCCCTCGAAACGGCAGGACCAGGACCCCACTCCACATCCCTGTAGCTCGAATGCCCTCCCATCCCTCCCTGCTCCTCTGCTCCGCCAGGCTTCTTCTGGGAGGCGCCCTCTCCTCCGCCCGCTGCTGCTCCCTCCTTCCCACTGCCCCTCCGCTGCCATGAACCCCCCATGGCAGCCGTAACTGCCCCCAAAACCCTCGCTGCTACTGACCCAGTTGCTCCTCCCCCAGTTGCTCCTCCCCCAGTCCCATTCCCGTTCCCCTCCTCCCTCGCACCAGCCCGCTTCCCTCCGCGCTTGGCCTCTGAGAGCACTCTCACGGGCGCAGCAAAGGTGCTGTAGTGCCGCGGCCGCATGCTCAGAAACGTCCCCACCGTCCAAATGGCAATCCACGCGAGAATCACAAACGGCCCTGCGATCAAATACCCCCATTCGTAGTTCCAGCTGTACTCTTCCATGTACGCTCGGCCGATCGACCAGTTCTCGCGCCCCACACAGTACGGCATGTTGGTCGGGACGAGCGCAGGAGCCGGGCAGAACTGCACAGGAACGTACTTCCGCTGCTCGTTGATCGCTAGGACCGTCGATGCCCACTGCATGGGGTTGATCCAGTATAGCCAGATCCAGAAACTCGGTATAAGCGCCTTCGCTACAAGGATGTGGCCGAAGAGGAACATGCCGGGGCCCATGAAGATGGCCGCAGCGAAGGCGGCGGAGCGGAGGGTGCGGGAGGTGAAGGAGATGAAGCGGATCATGGCGGCGCCGTGGATGGCGACGAGGGAGAGCACGCAGAGGAAGATGAAGAAGTGCGCCCCGTAGTCTGAGAGCGTGAGGCCCGAGAGGAAGTAGACCAGCACCGACCAGATGGTCGCCTGCAGTGGCCGGGGCGGAGGCGGGGGGGGGAGGAGGAGGGGGGGGGAGGGGGGGGAGGTGGCGAATGGGGCCCCGGGGTGGGGGAAAAGGAGGAATTGGATTGGGGTTGGAGGGGAGGAGGGAGGAGGGGAAGATGAAGAAGTGTGCTCCGTAGTCGGAGAGAGTGAGGCCCGAGAGGAAACACACCAGCACTGACCTGATGGTCGCCTGTAGGAGATGGGCTGGGGGGGAAAGAAGTAAGGAAGTGGAAAGGCTGTGCAAGAGTGCATCTTGTGTGGAAGTTTGAGCACACTGCGATCATTGAAGTACTCTTCATCCTGTTTGATTCCACATTCCACATTCCACATCACAAATCACAACACAATCCACATCACGTCACACATACTTGTCTGATATTCTGCCCCGCCCTGCCCACCCACCCATGCACCTCGACAATAGAGAGCGACATTCTGGCGACGAGGTGCAAGAACGCGTAGGAGCGCGTAAGATTTACCCCCCACGCATTGAGGTGGTTTTAGAGGCGCCTCAAAAATACCCCCCAAACATCTTGACAGCTCCCAAAGCATGTCTACAGTAACAACGTACAGCTGTCCCTGCCCACCCGCCCACCCACCTCGACAATGGAGAGTGGCAGGCAGGCAATGAGCTGCGAGAGCGCGTAGGAGCGCGTGCGGGAGAATCGTGCGCTGCGGTGCTTGAAGTACACCTGACAGGCTGGCAACCCCATCCCACCTCATCTCAAGTTCCACGTTGCACCCCACACACTCACTCTGAGCCTCCTCAGAATGAGCCCCACGCACACTCCTTTGTCAAATCCGCCCCATGCACACTCCTTTTTCAAATCCGCCCCACGCACCACGACAATGGGGAGCGGCACGGCAGGCTGGCAATGAGTTGGAAGAGTGCATAGGAGCGCGTGCGGAAGAAACACATATTGCTGTGTGTTCAGCTGGCCTGCCCCACCCACACACGCACCTCGACAATGGACAGAGGTAAACTGGCAATGAGCTGCGAGAGCGCGTAGGAGCGCGTGCGGAAGAAGCGCGCGCTGCGGTGCTTGAAGTACACCTGGCGCTCCAGCATGTAGCCCGGCAGCAGGCTCACGTTGTTCACCGTCATGGTGATGAGTGATATCTGCATCACGCCCCTCCGCAGGTTCAGGTGCGCAAAGGACGGCGGTTCGGCTGGGAGCTGGAAGAAATCAAATCCCACGAAAAGGCCGAGCAGGGTGACCTGCGGAGGGAGGGAAACAATGAGGACGAAGGGAGTATAGAGAAGGGAGAAGGGGAAAGGGAGAGTGAGAGGGCGGGTTAGTGGGAAGTTTTTTCGTATGAATTGGCAGCACGCTGACGCTGTTGACGGTAATGGTGATGAGTGATATCTGCATCACGCCCCGCCGCAGGTTCAGGTGCGCGAAGGGCGGCGGTTCGGCTGGCAGCTGGAAGAAATCAAATCCCACGAAGAGACCGAGCAGGGTGACCTGCGGAGGGAGGGAGGGAGCAGGGTGAAGGACGGTTGGGAGGTGGAAAAGTAGAAAGGTTATTTCATCAACTGAATGGAGGGAGGTCCGCGGGGAGGTGTAAGAGGTCCGCGGGGAGGTGTAAGAGACTGAGTAGGTCGAAGCCCACAAAGAGGTCCTGCAGGGGCCAGGAGGGAGGAAGGAGAGGCGGGAAAGGGGTGTGAGGAGAGACAAGCAGACGACTGCTGACGCAGTTCAGAAGGTGGAAACAGTCGAAGCCCACGAAAGAGGTCCTGCAGGGACCAGGGGAGAGAGGGAGGGAGGACGTAGAGGTGGGAACGAAGGGGGAGGGAATGCAATCTAGTCAAGCAGGTCAGAGACAACAGCGTCAACACCTCCTCCTCAGGTTACACAGTAAACAGGTTGCGCTGCCCTCTCTCATTGCAGAGCAGCAACTCCCAGAAAACACACGCACAGAAACCCCTCTTCTCACCAGCAGCAGGCGGGCAGCAATGAAGCTCCAGTTGCGCAGGTTCACTTGCAACTGGCACTACAGCAGCTGCTTGAACTCAAGGTCAGGCCACATGTCTTTTGAGGCGCCTCAAGGTCAGGCCACATGTCCAGAACCAACTCCTTGCGCAGCAGCTCTCTCTTCTCGCCCCCCGCTCAGCCACCCATCTCAATCCCACAGCAATCTCACACCAAAACACCCCACCTCTGCACCACAGGCTTCCCCTCACCTGCACCAGCTCCTCTCCTCCCACTTACCAGCAGCAGGCGGGAAGCAATGAAGCTCCAGTTCCGCAGGTTCACTTGCAACTGGCGCCGCAGCAGCAGCTTGAACTCAAGGTCAGGCCACATGTCCAGAACCAACTCCTTGCGCAGCAGCTCTCTCTTCTCGCCCCCCGCACAGCCAGCCATCTCAATCCCACAGCCAGCCATCTCAATCCCACAGCCAGCCATCTCAATCCCACAGCCAGCCATCTCAATCCCACAGCCAGCCATCTCAATCCCACAGCCAGCCATCTCAATCCCACAGCCAGCCATCTCAATCCCACAGCCAGCCATCTCAATCCCACAGCAATCTCGCACCAAAACACCCCACCTCTGCACCACAGGCTTCCCCTCACCTGCACCAGCTCCTCTCCTCCCACTTACCAGCAGCAGGCGGGCAGCAATGAAGCTCCAGTTGCGCAGATTGACCTGCAACTGCCGCCTCAACAACAACTTAAACTCAGGCCACATGTCCAGAATCAACTCCTTGCGCAGAAGCTCTCTGTTCACCCCGCCCCACAGCCCCGCCATCACCGCCGCGCGCGACGCCGCCGCCGCAGCCGACAGGTTCATGGCTTTAAGAGCCCCTGCGGCATTCACCCCCTGCAGCTGCATGAACGCGCCGCTCCTCCTCCTGCTGCTGCTGCCCTGCAGCCCTTTGAATGCAGAGAGGCCGATGCTCTTGAAGGCTTTCGTGATGGCGTGGGGGATGGCCTTCGGGAGCGACTGGATGCCCCTCGCGTTGCCCCGCTTCTTGCTCCCCGCTGCTGCGACCGCGTCTGCCTCCTCCTCTCCATGCTCTCCCTTGTCGTCCTCACCTGCTGCTCCTCGGGCGCTGTCGCACCGGGCAATGTGGCTGACCAGAGCGTGTGTGTCGTCGGCGTCAGCAGGGGTGTCATGGTCATGGATGTCAACACGCGTGTCATTGTCATTGGCCTTGGCCTCCACATGCTCTGCCTCTGCGCCTGCAGCAGCAGCACTGCCAGGCGGGGGCTCAGCCGCCGCAGCTCCCTGCTGTGCACTCTCACCAGCTGCCCCACCAGCAGCAGCAGCACAGCCGGCCTCCACGTCGCTGGGAGCCTGGCTGCTACTCGTCAACAGGTGTTCCGTCTGCTCCTCCTCCTCGCCGCTGCTGCCACACTGAGTTGCCTTTTCCTGGTGGTGGGGCGGGACGAGACAGGAACGGATAACCCCAAAACTCTTGACAGGAAAGCCTGGCAGAGCAGAGCGCTCTCACTGGAAGGGCGGGAGGCGACATGAAGCAGCTGGGGGATGGATGGACAGATGCACAAACGTCCCTTGCCGAGGCCCAGGTAGCCATAACATAACAATTGAGACGTCTCAAAACTTTTGACTTTTGAGACGTCTCAAAACTTTTGACTTTTGAGACGTCTCAAAACTTTTGACTTTTGAGACGTCTCAAAACTTTTGACTTTTGAGACGTCTCAAAACTTTTGACTTTTGAGACGTCTCAAAACTTTTGACTTTTGAGACGTCTCAAAACTTTTGACTTTTGAGACGTCTCAAAACTTTTGACTTTTGAGACGTCTCAAAACTTTTGACTTTTGAGACGTCTCAAAACTTTTGACTTTTGAGACGTCTCAAAACTTTTGACTTTTGAGACGTCTCAAAACTTTTGACTTTTGAGACGTCTCAAAACTTTTGACTTTTGAGACGTCTCAAAACTTTTGACTTTTGAGACGTCTCAAAACTTTTGACTTTTGAGACGTCTCAAAAGGCACAAACGACCCTCGCCAAAGCTCAGGTAGCATGACGTAACATAACAAAACAATACTCCCACACCCAAGGCCGGCCGGCACTCACCGGCTGTGTGACTATATGGAGGGGTCGCTGCAGCTCCAGATGCAGCCATGTGGCGCTGTCCCTGACCTCCTCCAGCATCTCCATTATCTCCACCACCGGCACATCCCCCCCCGCATACCTCGCATACTCCATCTCACCCCGATCGCCCACCGTCACTGCCACCACCACGTCTCCCACACACACCGGTCCCGTCGCCTCCACCCCCTCCTCCAAATGCCCCCCCTCTCCCCTTCCCCTTCCCCCTCTCCTTCCCGCTCCTCTCCCTCCCCCTCGTCCCTCCCCATCAGCTTCGCCTGCCCCCGCTCCTCCTTCCCCCCCGTCCTCATCGAATATCACACGAGACTCTGTCACCACTACTGCTTGGTAAGATGACACTCCCAACCCCTTAGCTTCTCCTCCCGCCGACGAGCTCTCTGCTACTCCGCTGCTTCCTGCTGCAGCGCCCTGCTGCTGCTCGTCGTTTGGAGCTGATGTGGCAGCGTCTGGAGCGCTGGCGTCTTCTGACGTGGCGTCAGGTGCCACGTCGGCGATCGCGCAGCGGATCCGGGAAAGGACGTGGCATGCCGGCCCGGAGATCCAGAGGAGGAGGAGAGGCGTGGGGTGGCTTGTGACACGGAGGATGTTCTTGTAATGAGGGGACTTCTTGTATGCACGCACTGTTGGCAGGCAGGCAGGCAGGATGTTGGATGGTGTGTGAAAGGAAAAGCATGCGGAGGTGTGGGAGAAGGATGAGGAAGGATGAGAAGGATGAGAAAGGATGAGGAAGGATGAGGAAGGATGAGGAAGATGAGGAAGATGAGGAAGATGAGAATGAAAGCACGGATGTTAACACGCCAGGCCAGAGTCAGGAGAGAACAGTACACAAACCCAGGCACACCCTCCCCACCAACCCAGGCACACCCTCCCCACCAACCCAGGCACACCCTCCCCACCAACCCAGGCACACCCTCCCCACCAACCCAGGCACACCCTCCCCACCAACCCAGGCACACCCTCCCCACCAACCCAGGCACACCCTCCCCACCAACCCAGGCACACCCTCCCCACCAACCCAGGCACACCCTCCCCACCAACCAGGCACACCCTCCCCACCAACCCAGGCACACCCTCCCCACCAACCCAGGCACACCCTCCCCACCAACCCAGGCACACCCTCCCCACCAACCCAGGCACACCCTCCCCACCAACCCAGGCACACCCTCCCCACCAACCCAGGCACACCCTCCCCACCAACCCAGGCACACCCTCCCCACCAACCCAGGCACACCCTCCCCACCAACCCAGGCACACCCTCCCCACCAACCCAGGCACACCCTCCCCACCAACCCAGGCACACCCTCCCCACCAACCCAGGCACACCCTCCCCACCAACCCAGGCACACCCTCCCCACCAACCCAGGCACACCCTCCCCACCAACCCAGGCACACCCTCCCCACCAACCCAGGCACACCCTCCCCACCAACCCAGGCACACCCTCCCCACCAACCCAGGCACACCCTCCCCACCAACCCAGGCACACCCTCCCCACCAACCCAGGCACACCCTCCCCACCAACCCAGGCACACCCTCCCCACCAACCCAGGCACACCCTCCCCACCAACCCAGGCACACCCTCCCCACCAACCCAGGCACACCCTCCCCACCAACCCAGGCACACCCTCCCACCAACCCAGGCACACCCTCCCCACCAACCCAGGCACACCCTCCCCACCAACCCAGGCACACCCTCCCCACCAACCCAGGCACACCCTCCCACCAACCCAGGCACACCCTCCCCACCAACCCAGGCACACCCTCCCCACCAACCCAGGCACACCCTCCCCACCAACCCAGGCACACCCTCCCCACCAACCCAGGCACACCCTCCCCACCAACCCAGGCACACCCTCCCCACCAACCCAGGCACACCCTCCCCACCAACCCAGGCACACCCTCCCCACCAACCCAGGCACACCCTCCCCACCAACCCAGGCACACCCTCCCCACCAACCCAGGCACACCCTCCCCACCAACCCAGGCACACCCTCCCCACCAACCCAGGCACACCCTCCCCACCAACCCAGGCACACCCTCCCCACCAACCCAGGCACACCCTCCCCACCAACCCAGGCACACCCTCCCCACCAACCCAGGCACACCCTCCCCACCAACCCAGGCACACCCTCCCCACCAACCCAGGCACACCCTCCCCACCAACCCAGGCACACCCTCCCCACCAACCCAGGCACACCCTCCCCACCAACCCAGGCACACCCTCCCCACCAACCCAGGCACACCCTCCCCACCAACCCAGGCACACCCTCCCCACCAACCCAGGCACACCCTCCCCACCAACCCAGGCACACCCTCCTCACCAACCCAGGCACACCCTCCCCACCAACCCAGGCACACCCTCCCCACCAACCCAGGCACACCCTCCCCACCAACCCAGGCACACCCTCCCCACCAACCCAGGCACACCCTCCCCACCAACCCAGGCACACCCTCCCCACCAACCACACACCACCCAGCCTTGCAACCGCACTCACCAAACCCCTCAGCAGCAACGCACTCACCAAATCTCTCACTTAACTTGCATTGCACGCGCACTCACCGAAGCCCTCAGCAGCACCGCACTCACCGAATCCCTCGAGCAGCACCGCACTCACCGAATCCCTCAGCAGCACCGCACTCACCGAAGCCCTCAGCAGCACCGCACTCACCGAATCCCTCAGCAGCACCGCACTCACCGAATCCCTCAGCAGCACCGCACTCACCGAATCCCTCAGCAGCACCGCACTCACCGAATCCCTCAGCAGCACCGCACTCGCCGAATCCCTCAGCAGCACCGCACTCACCGAATCCCTCAGCAGCACCGCACTCACCGAATCCCTCAGCAGCACCACACTCACCGAAGCCCTCAGCAGCACCGCACTCACCGAAGCCCTCAGCAGCACCGCACTCACCGAATCCCTCAGCAGCACCGCACTCACCGAATCCCTCAGCAGCACCGCACTCACCGAATCCCTCAGCAGCACCGCACTCACCGAATCCCTCAGCAGCACCGCACTCACCGAATCCCTCAGCAGCACCGCACTCACCGAATCCCTCAGCAGCACCGCACTCACCGAAGCCCTCAGCAGCACCGCACTCACCGAATCCCTCAGCAGCACCGCACTCACCGAATCCCTCAGCAGCACCGCACTCACCGAATCCCTCAGCAGCACCGCACTCACCGAATCCCTCAGCAGCACCGCACTCACCGAATCCCTCAGCAGCACCGCACTCACCGAAGCCCTCAGCAGCACCGCACTCACCGAAGCCCTCAGCAGCACCGCACTCACCGAATCCCTCAGCAGCACCGCACTCACCGAATCCCTCAGCAGCACCGCACTCACCGAATCCCTCAGCAGCACCGCACTCACCGAATCCCTCAGCAGCACCGCATTCACCGAAGCCCTCAGCAGCACCGCACTCACCGAATCCCTCAGCAGCACCGCACTCACCGAATCCCTCAGCAGCACCGCACTCACCGAATCCCTCAGCAGCACCGCACTCACCGAATCCCTCAGCAGCACCGCACTCACCGAATCCCTCAGCAGCACCGCACTCACCGAAGCCCTCGAGCAGCAGCTTCCTCTTGCCGGATCTGAGGGCGCCCCCTCCCTCCGTGGTGACGTGCTGCAGATACTCTGGCACTGACATGTGTAGTGGCTTCAGGTAGCTGGGGAGGAAGGGGGGGAAGGGGGGGAAGGGGGGAAGAGGGGAAGGGTGGGAAGTTGGTTGGTGAGGGCACTCACTCACGTGCTGCAGATACTACGGCACTGACATGTGTAGTGGCTTCAGGTAGCTGAGAGGGGGGGGGGAGATGATGGGCCGATGGGGGGACAGGAGAGATGGGAGGAGAGGGGAGTGGGTACGAGTGAGGGAATGAGGACAAGGCAAGTCAGTAAGGGCATTGACGTGCTGCGCTGCGGATAACCTGGCACTCACATGTGCAGTGGCTTCAGGTATCTGAGGGGAGGGGAAGAGGGGACAGGAAGGGGTGGGGAAAGAGGGGACAGGAAGGGGTGGGGAAAGAGAGGACAGGAAAGGTTGGGGAAAGAGGGGACAGGAAGGGGTGGGGAAAGAGGGGACAGGAAGGGGTGGGGCAAGAGGGGACAGGAAGGGGTGGGGAAAGAGGGGACAGGAAAGGTTGGGGAAAGAGGGGACAGGAAGGGGTGGGGAAAGAGGGGACAGGAAAGGTTGGGGAAAGAGGGGACCGGAACGTGCTGAACTGCAGATAATCTGGCTTCAGGAAGCGGCACTGATGTGCAGTGGCTTCAGGAAGCGGCACTGATGTACAGTGGCTTCAGGAAGCGGCACTGACATGTGCATGTGCCTCTCCCGACTTTGCAGCATTGAATAATCATTTGCGCGTGTGCCTCTCGCTCACCCAAGCTGCTGGAAGTGTCTGAGCGCGGTGTGGCAGGGCCCCTGGTAGACGATGTTGCCCTGGTTGAGTGCCGCAGCAAGAGAAGCAGCACACACAAGCAGCACAGCACACAGCACACAGCACACAGAACACAGCACACACATACACGCACAGATGCGTGTATTGGTCACTCACCCGAGCTGCTGGAAGTGTCGGAGCGCGGTGTGGCAGGGGCCCTGGTAGACAATGTTGCCCTGGTTGAGCACGATGACCCGGTCGAAGAGGGAGAAGACCGCCTGTGTGGGCGACTGCAGCGAGCACAGCACCGCGTGCTGCCGCACCTGGTGTGTGTGAGGGTGGGTGGGGGGGTGAGGTGGGTGCGTGTGTGTGTGTGTGTCGGTGTGGGTGTGGGTGTGGGTGTGGGTGTGGGAGTGTGGGTGAGGGGTGTGGGTGTGGAGGGGGGAAAAGGGGGAGAGGGGAGGGGCAGAGAGCGTAGGGATGCGTCAGAGATGTTTGAGCACGATGACCCGGTCGAAGAGGGAGAAGGCCGCCTGTGCGGGAGACTGCAGCGAGCACAGCACCACATGCTGCCGCACCTGTGTGTGAGAGGGTGGGTGAGGGGGTGAGATGGGGTGTGGGTGTGGGTGTGGGTGTGGGTGTGGGTGTGGGTGTGGGTGTGGGTGTGGGTGTGGGTGTGGGTGTGGGTGTGGGTGTGGGTGTGGGTGTGGGTAGAGAGAAGCAGATGAAGGTGGAAGAGGGAAGCCCGAGGGTGCGCAATACGGTGAGAGAGTCACGTCACGTGCTTGCATGAGCGAAGGGGAAGGGGCCAAGGGAGGGAGGAGAGGCAGAGGAGCACAAAGACACATGCACTGCACGCACACACAAGCAGAGGCTGACTGACCTGTGCGTGGGTGCGCAGCATGGTGAGCGTCTTGTGTGTGGAGGGCCCATCATACACCTGGCTGATGCGATCAAACAGCAGCACCTGGGGGGGAGAGGGGGAGAGCAGCAGGTCATGTGATGGGATGGGAGTAGGGGTGGGTGGGTGACCACTGAGCGCATGTGGAGAACAGGAGAGGAGGCGCGCAAAGAAGTAGAGAAGAACACAGCACCGCACAGCACAGGCACAGCGCAGCACAGAAAGAGACAGCACGGCATGGCCCGCACTGCACGGCACGGCACGGCACGGCACAGCACGGCACGGCACGGCACGGCACGGCACAGCACAGCACAGCGGAGCACACGGCCCCCTGCACCCACACTGACTGCATTCCTTCTGGTCTTGGATAGATTTGTCGCTAGGAAGGCCTTAAGTCCAGCGTCAATACGGATTTTTTTTATCTAGAGTTGGACGTACGTTTTGACTCTCGACGTTTACCTAAACCCTGAATATTAAAAATTTGTGCTGCCCGAAATCGAAAAAAAAAGGGCGAAACGGGAGAACAGGGATAGAGGAAGAGAAGGGGAAGGACAGGAGGCGAGGGGAGAAGGGAGAGGGGAGAGGCAAGGGGGAGAGAGAGGAGAGGCGTTTGGGAGAGAGGAAGAAGAGGGAGAGACAACGCACCGTGCATGCGCCTCAGTACTCACCGGGTAAGCGCCAACCATGAGCTCAGCAGCAGTCAGGGGGTGCACCTCGTTCCTAGTCACCCTCTCACCCTTCTAAACCCGCCTCAGCACTCACCGGGTAAGCGCCAACCATGAGCTCAGCAGCAGTCAGGGGGTGCACCTCGTTCCTAGTCACCCTCTCACCCTTCTAAACCCGCCTCAGCACTCACCGGGTAAGCGCCAACCATGAGCTCAGCAGCAGTCAGCCGGTGCACCTCGTCTCTGGTCAGCGCCCCCGACCCAACCTTCTCTCCCGCATGCCGTCGCAGCCCAAACATGGCCTCTCGGGACGCCACCAGAGGGTCCTCGCCCCTCTCTATGCTCGCCCGCAGCGCCTTGCTCAGCATGGGGTGCTGCAGCAGCTGCTTGGCTGACAGCGGGTACGAGCAGTGGCGGGCGAAGGCGAGGGTTTCGTGCACGGAGAGGGCGGGGAGGTGGCAGTCGGCATCGAAGCCCACCCCCACGAGGCGGTGCGCGCGCGAGGGCGTGATGGGGTGCGCGTTGAACGAGACGGTGCCGGTGGTGGCGGGCTGGCGGCCGGCTAGCAGCTTGATGAGCATGGACTTGCCGCTACCTGTGGGTGGGGTGTGTGGGGGATGGATGAATGGGATGGGGGTGCGTGATGAACATGGCGTTGAAGGCGACAGTGACGCTGCTGGCGGGTTGTCGGCCGGCTAGCAGGAGGATGAGCATTGACTTGCCAAAATCTGAGACGTCCAAAAGTCGGCTAGCAGGCGGATGAGCATTGACTTGCCGAAAATTTGAGAGAAAAGGGGGAGGTGGGGGGGATGGATGAATAGGGCAGGGCAGAGAAGGTGTGACGGGGGGGGCGTTGATACGAGACGGTGCTGGTGGTGAGGGATGCCGCCTGGCTAAGCGGCGGTTTAGAATCCATTTGCCAGTGCCTGTAACACAACATGGGGACGAGTGAGCGGGATGGGAATAACGGGGTGGTGGTGGGAGGAATGCAATGTCCACCAGCTAGCTGGCAGTCTCAAAACGGGCTCACCTGGGACCCACCTGAAGCCCACCTGAGTCTCACCTGAGGCCCACCTGAGTCTCATCTGAGGCCCACAAGAGTCTCGCCTGACGGCAGGTGGGTGGAGGAAGACAAGATGGCTCACCTGAGGTTCCCAGGAGGAGTGTGAGAGTCCCTGGCATGAGGAAGCTGCAAGGAAAGTGTGACAAGAGAAAGCGATAGAGGCAAGGCAGAGGATGGATCATGGCAATGGAAGGGGAGAGCAGAAGGCGGTGAGTGAGTGGACCTGGGGGAAGCAAGTTGCGCATCGGTTGGGGACAGGTGTGTGGCACGTGGGATACACGTGCTGTGCACGTGTTGTACACATGGGCGTGAGATTCAGTGTGCAGGGCAGGACAGGACAGGTCAGGCCAGGAAACGTGCGCAGATTGCACTTAGTCTAACGTACAGCAGAGAGCATGACGCATCCTGAGACATGTCGACGCAAGATACAGTGTGCAGGACACGAGATACAGGACATGAGAGGCGGGAAGGGAAGCCCGAGTGCACGAGACACACCCTCAGAGACCATCTAGCACATGAATGGTGTATATTGATTTAAAAGGCACGCACCCTGAGACATCATCGAGCACGTGAATGGTCTCCTTCCTCTGCCAGCCCGCGGGGGGGGCATGACATAGGGGTGCAGTACAAGCACTACACGTGCAGCAGAGGGCAGGAGAGGCACGCACCCTGAGACATCGTCGAGCACGTGAATGGTCTCCTTTTTCTGAAAGCCCGCGATGGCCTTGAGCTTGAAATACGGCTGCTCCAGCCGTGAGAGGAAACGAGAGGAACAGAGAGGGAGAGAGAGTGGGTTAATACGAAGAACCGTATTTGTTTGTGCTTTTCCTTGTTTGTCCATTGCTGCTATTAATACGAAGGACCGTTGGAGAGAGTGGGACAGAAGGACAGAGGGGAAAAGAGGGGCAAAGCGAGGTGTGAAAAGAAGGGCAGTCGGAGGAGCAAAGAGAGGGGAAGATAGGCAGTGAGCAAGGGTGTCAAGGAGGGGATGACAAGAGCACATTAGGTGCCTAGTGTTGCAAGGCACACCCCCTCTTCTCCCTTGCATTTCATGCACACCACTTAGTTTAGTTCTGCACTGCCCGCATTGTTCTGATGGCCTTGTTGTGGCATCACAATGGCGCAGCAGCCTCCCTATAGTACAGCCAAAGTCGACTCAAACGTCACCTTTTTTAGTCGATTTAGAAGTCACCTCGCCCTGCCCGCATTGTGGTGATGGTCTTGTTGTGGCATTACAATGGTGCGGCAGCCTCGTTATAATACAGCCAGTGACCTTTTGGTCGACTCAAAAGTCGACTGCTGCTTCCGCACTGCCTGCATTGTTGAAAACGGCCTGGCCTTGTGGCATGGTGCTGCCTCGTACAGCAGCCAGTGACCTCCCTTCGATCCCCCTTGCATGCCACTATTCTCACCACATCCCCCAGTCCCCCCAGTTAGGCATGGCTCACCACCCCTCCCACGGTCCACTCTCACAATGCCCCTCTCTCCACCCTTGTGTGGATTCTTGGAAGTTAAACCGGCCCGCTCCCCCATTCTCACCGCGTTGAAGCAGTTTTTGATTTGATCCGGGATGACCACCACCTTCTTTGTCACTGCCACGTGGCTGAATGTCACCACCTGATTGGATGGGTTGCACACGTGGATTCATGGGTTGATGAGTTGACGGCGAGCGACCATGCAGGTCTGCACACATGCACACACTCGGGCGCGTATTGTGCGCGCACACACACATTAACGCATGCGCACGCACGTGCACACACACGCACACACACATACACACACACACACACACACAAACGCACGCACGCACACACACATACGCACACACACACATATACGCACACACACACACACAAACACACACTCACACACACACGCACGCACACACACACACAGACACACACACACACACACACACACACACACACACACACATGTGCTCCCTATTTCTCACCTGCGGCTGCGCGCACAGCAGGTTGGGCTGCATGGCAATCAGATACTTCTGCAACCCCTCCCTCACCATCACCTCGCTCTTCACCCCCTCCCCCTCCCCCTCCTCCCCGTTCTCCATCCGCCCCGGCCCCCACCCACCTCCTTCTCCCCCTTTCCCGTCCCCCTCCTCATCCTCTTCATCCCCATCCGCCTCATCCTCGTCCGCCGCGCCCCGCCTGCGCGAAGCCATGCTCTTGATGCTCACGAGGCGCGCGGCGGCGGACGCGGCGATCTCCTGCGCCTCGTCCGCGAGCCCGTGCGCGGTGAGCGCGTCGTGGTACCGTCGGATCAGGTTGATCAACGGCGCCTCGCCGATCCCAAATAGATCGTTGTAGAAGGCCGACGACGACGGGCCGCTAGAAGGCTCTTCCGCGTCGGAATCGCCGGGGAACGCGGAGGAAGCGGACGAAATGCCGGAAGCGGCGGAAGCGAAGATGCCGGCGGCGGCGGAGTGCCACGTGTCAGCACCGAGACCGGCGACCCCGCTTTGCCCGTCGCCGTAGGGTGCATTCATTCCACTGTCATCTGCCGCATCCTCGTTATTAACCTCCTCCATTGCGCCGTCAACGCCGAGTTTCCACGTGCCAGCAGCAAAGCTCACTCGCCCGAGCTTCCCCCGCTTGACTCTCTGTCCGCTGCCCGCTTCATTCCCCCCTTCTCTGGCTCCCCCAGGCGCAGTTCCCTCGCGGCCATCTTGCCCGTCAGTTTCCCCCGTTCCTCCCCCCCACCCATCCGCTCCGCCTCCCCCGGCGGTACTACCTTCCCCGCGCGCTGGCTCCTCCCCCTCCGCTTCTTCCTCCTCGGACTCCGCGGCCTCTTCGATTGACCCGGCTTGGTACAGCATCGGCGCACCACCAGACGCGCTACTAGCGAAACTCGGGATCGCACTTACGAAGCTCGAGCTTTTTTCTGAGGAATTGCTCCCAGAAAGATTCGGAGCGTTCGGCGAGGGGGTTACTAGGGACGGATGATTCATAAAAGATCGCGAGCTCGTGAAGGATTGCTGCTGACGTGTCGACTGCTGACGCGACGACTGCTGACGCGTCGACTGCTGACGAGTAGACTGCCGGCCCATCGACTGTTGACGCATCGTCAGCCGACGCCGCAGCACGGCATATTCATTAGGCGCGGCGCCGCGACCGAGATCGTTGATGGAGGAAGCCGGAGTGACGCCATCGTACCAGTCGTCTAGCGTATCAGGTACTACTGACGTGGCGTCGTCAGGATCCAAGATGGATGGAGCCATGACGACAATTATGAACAGACGGTGGAGAGCTGAACGTTAAGATATGTTGACGCGACTCGGAATAAATAATCGTTTAATTGGACTGCCGCCGCGACTAGCGCAGTGTTACGATATGTCGGAAAGTCTCCCATAATACATCATGTCACGGCTTGCCTTGAAATCTCTCTTCGCGTGCTGCACAGTTGCTGTGACGAGAATGAACGACTTTCACATGATGACACACAGAAAACACTTCCGTGATTCAAGGCTGCAATGAGAGGCTCTGGGTTTGCCAGACCAGCAGCTCGTGCTCGCCAAAGGGAGCGGCTCACAAGACTTCACGAACGCTGTAGTCTACTTTTCCTGCTGCTACGGCTTGCAACTGTTGTGGGTCAGAACAGTTTTGTGGGCGGTCCTTGCCGTAGGGAAGCTGCACCTATTTCATGGCTCACATTACTCACCCCGTCTTTCCTTTCATCGGCTTCTCGTGTTTCGCCTCGCCATTCACTACCCTATCCAATCCACCTTACCTTCAGCTCTGCTACGTGTCTGCGGCGTCTCCTCTTTGCGCTCCGCCCGACTCCCAGGTGCCTAGATTATGACCCTTTTCATAGAAACAAAAAACTGGGTACGGTATCCAAACATACTTGGTGGCTCGTTGGTGGAAAACATTTTCAGAATTTCTGTTTGTCTGGTACTGGCTGCGTTCTGCAGGCGGACATTCATGCGTTCTACCGTGTTTGTTCCCAAAAAACGAAATCGCTCCTGCATTCAAACCCGGTCACATTACAGCTTGATATTTAATCCGGTCAGGGCGTTTATCCAGATTGTGGATGAAAGCTTCCAGCACTTCGCTTTGGGCCGATTTGAATGTTGCTGCGCTGGGATGATTTGGGATTCACCCTGTTTCGCGCCACACTGACATTCGCCATATTGACAAGCCGGTTGTACTGACATCAATGCGTCCAAATTGGTCCCAGAACATACCGTATAAGCACTTTTGCCACACGAAACCGAACTCAAAAGCACGTTTTTTTCATGAACCGTTCTCTACCGTTCTCCTGAAGTGCATTTCGGTTGCAAGCACCAGCCCGCTGAATCCAAGCACACGTGCGCACTGTAGCCGGGGGTCCCGATTGTTCAAACATCGAGAAACAGGGTGTATAGGTTGGTATGGGATGCATCTCTCACCTCAGGCTCGAACGTCACTGCACTGGGGTGGTTCGGGATAGGTTGTTTTGGTCTGGGTGCCCACGTCTTTTCAGGGGTCTTTAGGGCGTGCTGAGATTAACACAGCTGCTCAAAGTTCAAACTGGCACCGCTTTGTAACGTGGTAAAAAAGTTTTTCATCGTACTGTACCGTTTATGACCTCTCAAGAAGTTTGACTTTGGCAAAAGTCAACCCGGTGCAATACGCCCTTACATATTGAAAAAGATGCACAGTGTTTTGTATAAACGGAATACACATGATGCCCGAGTACCCACAACTGTTTTCGTCATTTGAGTGTTTAGTGAGCAACAGCTTTTTCGCCTGCTCGCCAGGCTTCGCCACGGGCAAAATCGGGTCTGTAGTGGGCAAGTGAAGAAATGTAACCAGCGCCTTCAAAATATTTCACGAACGGACAATGCCAGCGTGATAAGCTGTATGTTCAACGGCTGCGATCAAAATATGGGCTTGTATCGTGCGTGCAACTGGCTGGTACCAAATGCAATTGGGCAGGCTGTCGAATACGGCCAGACCAAATGTGCGTGCAACAGCTGAGCATCGTGTGTAGTCAGCATTCCATACGTTTTAGGGCGTGGAACATGCGTTGACCAATTTGCTGTAAGGACATGTACAAATGATGCTCACCCCCTGCACGCGAGTTTGCCTTGCGGCGGATGGATTTTTTGCACCCGTGTGTTTTGTGCCGTGAAGTTGCACCTCATTTACAAGCTCCTCGAGCAGGTTGCAGTAAAATGAACCAATAATAACCACAGAAACGGATGTTTACCGAAGTCAAAAAGTCAACGGTGAGTTACAGCTGCTTTCTATATGCAACGGCCAATACCACTTATAAGCCCAAAGCACAAGGCGAAGCTGGGTGTGCCAAACGAGCATTATTTGTACGTCGTCGACAGATGATTTGGTGTGCAGTCTCATCAGGAACTGTACAGTTCAACAGTGGCAGGGCCAGTTCAGATTTGAAACTTTGGTTTGGATACCGCACCCATCCCAGGCCTCAAAACCAACCAATGAACACAGGCTGAACCATCACACTGCCGAGCCGAAGTTGTGACCGTGGAGTTTTGCGGCCGTCTGCTTTTCGAGTGTTATTTGACGGTTTTGATGTGTATCCGAAAGAAAATAGGAGTTTTACCAGTTAGCCTTACATTGGTCCATTTGGATAAAATGGTCTTACAATGCATGAAAGAAAGAGAGCATGTAGTTAAACAACACTGATGCCAAACAACACTGATGCCATGTAGCTGTATTTTTTTATTTATACAGTGGTTGTGTAGTGCGCCTTCCCAGATAATGTGCTTTGCCAGAAAAGGGAGCATCCATCGATTGAATCTTCCCCAGTGCTTTATTTTGCATACCATGCAAAATGGTCGTACGTACAATATATTTCTTTAGCAGGTTGCTACCCTATGCCAATGCATCGGGCGGGCTTGCTCAATCACTCCCTGGAGGTTCCTTGCGCTCTTGCGGTAACTCGTTCTTGAAGCCACAAGCTGTGCAGTTTTGTTCGAACTGGATCTGGCACTTTGTTTGAACTGACAAGCCTTATTACCGTACAAACCAGCACCACTGGACTATACACAGAGTGGCGTGGTTCCAGATTGCACAAGGATCCCAGATGGGCTTGGTATTCCAGCAGCAATGGCGCTCTCAGGAAGACAGCCAGCAGATAGTCTTCTAGGCGGGGTACCTGAAACCCTTATTGGTAAATCTTCATGTAGCTGTTGAGAAGGCGAAGCTGACGTGGACTGCTCGCAAGGGTCAATTGGTATGATGGGAAGGAGGTCGCAGTTGCAGATCTCAATCATGTAGTTGTCAGGGTCGAAAAAAAAGATCTGATCAACCACTATCCCGTCCTCCACCACCTGCTGCTTCACGAACGAGATCGCGAAGGCGCTTAGCTTCCTCTCGACTTCAAAAAGATTGTCTGACTGCAAAAGACAAAAAAGGCGTAAGAAAATATGTCGACGATTAAATTGTTGAGGAAAAGGCTAGAATCTCGGTTGAACGTTCTAAAGAACCGATCCTGTAACTTGCCTGAAACGCGATGTGATTATCTCGAGGGGTGAGGGTTCGTGGCATCGGAGGGCAAACGCTGTCGCCTAGAAGGTGAAGTCCGATTCCATAGTTAAACAACCTGCCAAGGACGGCCGTCAGTGAACAAGTTTGACAGAAAAACGAACGAGACTTTTACGTAGAGGCCTAACTTTTTTCCCTTATTTCTTACCATGCACCGTCGAAGCTAAGAGACTTCTCGGGACGCTTCACAGGCTGAAAGCCTAAAACGCGTGAATAAAAGTCGAGAGACTTCTGCACTGAGGCGCACTTGATGGAAACATGGTTGATGCAACGTATCGGCAGCGGGCCTGACCCAGATTGCCTGCTTAGCTCCATCTAGACGCCTTAAGGAACGCGCTTCTAACAAGCGTCTCAAGCGTGCTAGAGATTTTGGATTCTTGAGGTGTGGTTATCTGACGCATTTATCCCCGACACCCGATTCCCAGAAGAGTTCTCCCTGACGGAACTCGTCCAGGCGACGGACCGCACATCTTTCCAAATGATGAATCTGGTGAATGCTGAAATAAGGTCACCAGCAGGTCGATGCGCTCGCCGCCAGCGTTTCGCCATTTCCCAGCTTCCCTTGCGGCTCGCAACTACTCGCTAGTCATCCCGTGGCTGGATGATGCCAATACCAATTGCTAGTGACATCAAAATGACGCCGCTCGGCTGACAAAGCCGAAGAACGCACGCGGGAAAAGAAGGCACTCGATAAAGGCAGCCTCACAACTACTCTGAAGGCCTCTGAAAAACGAACGAGTTTCGTGTGTCGCAAGGACTAATTGTTTAGAAAGGATATGTCGAGACTGCTCCACGCACACAAGTTCTTCTGTGACGTGGCGTCCCACCAAGTCAGCACAGCAAATGGATGTTGGCTGGGGCGCTGTTTCGCAAAAGCTGACACGGCTTATCGTCGCCATGGTAACCTGCATCGCCTGATTTTCCGTCATTGGGCTTCCGCACTTTCTGGCCTTGCTGGATTGTTCAGCAACAGAGGAGGCAAACATGGTGCTGTTCTGGCTTTATGGAATGGAAAGGTATGGTAAAACAGGACACACGCCCCATATTTGAAGAGCAAATGTAGGGTGTGAGTTTGGCGGTTTACATAGGCATCAGTTTTGCCCACTTCCACGCAAACACAAACTGGAAGCAGTCTGAACCTCTCTCAAATTGTTTTGTGTAAAATTGGGGAATGAGACATCATAGACTGCCCGAATAACATAGACGTCCTCAGATTCTTCTCTGACATGTCGTCGCCTTCAACATGAGAGAAGGGTTCCACTCCACGGATCCACGTCAAGAGGGCATGCCAGACTTTCAGCTCCAAAATTCGTGTAGAAATGCGCGTGAACTGTGTCTGTTCTTGCATGTGAGCACAGCAATCGTTTGTCATTCGTCGTGACTAGAGAAAAACCTCCATTGGTTTCCGACCTGTAGGATTAGTCCATCTGCTCTATCCCTTTTTGTATGACGAAGACAGGTTCACGCTTCGTGGGATTAACGCACTCTCACGACTCCAGTGTCGGGAAAATGGCAAAAACAGGTGTCTACCTCGAGCTCTCGCATGCTGCACATGATTTCGTTTCCATTATGCAGAGTTTTCAGCCTTCCGTTTTCGCGGTAACCTCTCTTCTCCACTCCTCCGCTCTCACACCCAATTCAAACTCCTGTCATATTCACTTTTCTTTCCTTGTACCCTTCTTCCCGCGTGTTCAGAGGTCCGTCACATGCCACCGTCGGCCGAGCGTCGGCGCGTTATGGGGCGGCACGAGGGGCACGATCACCGCAAGGCACGCCACGCGCACGACACGCTCTGGAAGCAGCCCGGCGAACGCGGAAGCTACACCGCCGCGACCCTGGTGGTGGCGGGAATCGTGGCCGTGCTGCTCGCCGCCACTTTTTTCGGCGCGCGGCATTTAATGATGCAGGAATAAACTGCGGAGAGGAGATTAAACAAACGGCGGGCAGGTCAAGGGACACGATACTCCGTTCACATTCACTACGTTTACATTCAACCTTTTACGCAAGAAGATGGGGTGGGCGGGGCGGGGGACCTGTGGGAACATGGTCGGCTGGGGCAAAAAGCGAGTTACGTTATGTATGCCAGTAAAACGAGCCCTACACAGGTTGGGCATTTGCTGGTCGGAAATTGTACAAAGTGAGTTGATAAAGCGGAAGTAGGGGAAAGTGAGGTCGTGAGGGGGAAAAAGGGGATGGGGGAAGGGGAAGGAAAGGGGGGAGGAAGGGGGGAAATGGGGAGAAACAGGGGGGAAAAGAGGGGGGGGGGGAGGGGGCGGGGAGGAAAAAGTGTGGGATTTTTGCAGAAATATGGAGACGGGCTACCTGAAGGTGTTTGTTCCCAGATGCTGTAGCTTGATATCTGCATGAGTCATGGGGGAACACTGACAGTGCAAGAGGGGTGGGATTGCAGGGCCAATGCCTCAAAATCTCCTAGACCTGTACCCTGCTATGCATTGTAAATATATACGTATGCATCGAGAGATGCACTGGCTTGTGGAAAATGCCCTTTCATATTGATTCATCACCTTGCTTGATTGCTTCGAGAAAAATACTGGAACCTGCTATTATCCTCTGACATGCTCCTGTGGTGTACTTCTTGAAAGGCATTATATACACCACATATCACCCAGCCAACTAAAACCACAACAGCTGAACATATCCTAAGCCTTTCTGGCCTTCTTCACTTTCCGTACTTCCCCTTCTTGTGTGGGCTTCGGATTCACTGCTTTCGTTGTCTTGGTCCCTCCTCCACTAGCAGCAACAGCACCACCACCACCACTGGCACCAACACCACCAGCACCAGCACCGGCAGAAGCGCCACCACTCTTCCCTGCAGCACCAGCCTTAGCACCTGACCCAGCTCTTGCCTTTGCTGTCCCTGCCTTCCTTGCTGTTGACGCTTTACCTGCCCCTGCTTTCTTCCCAGCCCCTGAAGTCGCCCCAGCACCAGTTGCAGGGGCAGCAGCAGAAGCAGCACCACCTCCAGCACTAGCAGCAGCAGCAGCAGCAGCAGCAGCAGCAGCACTAGCAGCAGCGGTACCCGCCCCTCCCGTCTTGTCCTCTGCCGTTGCTGCTTCACCTGCTGCTGCTGGCTGTGGCAGTGCCGGCAAGGCGATATCTGGGGGAGGTGGAGCTGGGGTGAGCTTCCTGACAACGTTCATAATCACGTGGTCCAGTCGTGCCATCTCCCTCACGTCTGCTGCGGTTGGCTTTGCCTCTGATGCTGCTGGCGTGTCAGGGGCTTCAACTGACGCCCCTTCCGACTCTGACCGCTCTGCTGGGGTGACATGAGAAGTGAGGAAGGTGGGAAGAGGATGGAACAACCCTGTTGTTCCTTGTAGTAGCTATGATCTCTGCAGAAACCCATCGTTCCCACCATGCCCCATACCTTCTTTTGGCCGGGCAGCTTCGGGATTGTCGAGAGCCGCCCGGGTCATAGAAAAGGCTGCCCGGAGATGATGCAGGGCACGGCACTGGGGGAGGGGAGGAGGGATGAGGGGGGAGGGGGGAGAGGGAGGAATGGGGACAAGGCATGAGATTGAGAATTGGGATTGGATTGAAATTGAAAGCGTCGGGGATGAAAAGAGAAGAGGAGCGGAGGGGCGAAAGAAGAACTGCAACAAAGGAATTGATAGACAGGTGAGGAGGAAGAAGGAAACGAGAGAATTGGAGGAAGGTAACAGCACAGGTGGGAAGCGAGGGCATGCCTAGCAGCATCTTTGTGAAATGAGAGGCAGTGAGAGCATGGCCATGCGGCGTCATAGCGAAATGAGAGGCAGTGAGAGCATGGCCAGCAGCGTCATAGTGAAATGAGAGGCAGTGAGAGCATGGCCAGCAGCGTCATAGCGAAATGAGAGGCAGTGAGAGCATGGCCAGCAGCGTCATAGCGAAATGAGAGGCAGTGAGAGCATGGCCAGCGGCGTCATAGCGAAATGAGAGGCAGTGAGAGCATGGCCAGCAGCGTCATAGTGAAATGAGAGGCAGTGAGAGCATGGCCAGCAGCGTCATAGCGAAATGAGAGGCAGTGAGAGCATGGCCAGCAGCGTCATAGCGAAATGAGAGGCAGTGAGAGCATGGCCAGCAGCGTCATAGCGAAATGAGAGGCAGTGAGAGCATGGCCAGCAGCGTCATAGCGAAATGAGAGGCAGTGAGAGCATGGCCAGCAGCGTCATAGCGAAATGAGAGGCAGTGAGAGCATGGCCAGCAGCGTCATAGCGAAATGAGAGGCAGTGAGAGCATGGCCAGCAGCGTCATAGCGAAATGAGAGGCAGTGAGAGCATGGCCAGCAGCGTCATAGCGAAATGAGAGGCAGTGAGAGCATGGCCAGCAGCGTCATAGCGAAATGAGAGGCAGTGAGAGCATGGCCAGCAGCGTCATAGTGAAATGAGAGGCAGTGAGAGCATGGCCAGCAGCGTCATAGCGAAATGAGAGGCAGTGAGAGCATGGCCAGCAGCGTCATAGCGAAATGAGAGGCAGTGAGAGCATGGCCAGCAGCGTCATAGCGAAATGAGAGGCAGTGAGAGCATGGCCATGCGGCGTCATAGCGAAATGAGAGGCAGTGAGAGCATGGCCAGCAGCGTCATAGCGAAATGAGAGGCAGTGAGAGCATGGCCAGCAGCGTCATAGCGAAATGAGAGGCAGTGAGAGCATGGCCAGCAGCGTCATAGCGAAATGAGAGGCAGTGAGAGCATGGCCAGCAGCGTCATAGCGAAATGAGAGGCAGTGAGAGCATGGTTAGCAGCGGCACACTTAGTTCGGAAAGACGCAGCTAGGACGCTGCGTCCTGCGTCCGGACGCAGCGTCCGGACGCTAGGACGCAGGACGCGCGTCCAGACGCAGGACGCACGTCGAAAAAAAATTCGGGCAGCCCGAAAAAAAAAAACCGATTGCGATTTTGGCATTCCCACCCCTCCCCTCCCCAAGGGATACAAGTTGGAGGAGGACGGGGAGAGGGAGGTGGACGAGGACGACCCGGCAGTCGACGAGTACAAGGACCAGGAAGCGATGGACGAAGAGGAGAAGGAGAGCGAGGATGATGGGGATGCGTGATGGTTGACTTGATGCAGTGCAGTGGTAGTTTAGTATGCATGGTCGTAACTGGTTGGATTAAACGTAATGTGTGTGTGTGAGACCTTGTGAAATGTGTGACACGTGACTCACCTTAATCTCAAATTTTGGGGGAAAATTTTGTGGTTGGGGAAAATTTTGTGGTATGACACCCCCCCCCCTCTCCCAAGCCCTATACAAATTTTTTTGGCCTGCCCGGGGGTTTTTTTTGCCCTGCCCGGGCTTGCGTCTTTTGGTGCGTCTTACAGGTCAAGGGTCAGCGTCCTGCGTCTGGACGCATGCGTCCAGGACGCAGGACGCGTCTTTCTGAACTAAGGCGGCACAGCAGCATGGGGTAGGCTACCAGTGGCACGGCATGGTCTAGAGTAGACACGCCTCACCACACAGAAGCACATGGCATGGCCTGACACGGCCTGACAGACAGACAGACAGACAGGCAAACAGACTGACTGACTGACTGACTGACTGACTGACTGACTGACTGACTGACTGACTGACTGACTGACTGACTGACTGACTGACTGACTGACTGACTGACTGACTGACTGACTGGCTGGCTGGCTGGCTGGCTGGCTGGCTGGCTGGCTGGCTGGCTGGCTGGCTGGCTGGCTGGCTGGCTGGCTGGCTGGCTGGCTGGCTGGCTGGCTGGCTGGCTGGCTGGCTGGCTGGCTGGCTGGCTGGCTGGCTGGCTGGCTGGCTGGCTGGCTGGCTGACTGACTGACTGACTGACTGACTGACTGACTGACTGACTGACTGACTGACAGACTGACTGAATGCCCGACTGACTGTTAGACTGACGGAGTGACTCACGATCCGAGAACCAATAACGGCATGCAGTGAAGGGGCCTGGTAGATGGACCCATCCAGGATGTAGTATGCAGCCACGGGCGTGGTGCGATCTGGACCGTCCCTTTTCTGCTTCCGCAACACGAACAGATGAGGCTCCTGCGCCATGTGCAGCGAATATTCCCATCCCACCATCTCCCTGGACGAGGGGAGAGGGAAGAAACGGGTTCTTGTGAGACATTTTCAAACAAGGAGAATTGGAAGCGGCTCCTACGCCAGCCATTTGCAGCAAACACTCCCACTTCACCTCCCTAGTTGAGGGGAAAGGGAAGAAACGGTTTGTTGTGAGACGTTTCTAAGCAAGGATAATTCGAAGCAGCTTTTGCGCCAGCCATGTGCAGCGAGTACTTCCACCCATCCCAACCCACCATATGCCTAGACGAGGGGACAGGGAAGAAACAAGTGGTGAGACGTCTCAACAAGTGGAGGAGTCAAAGTGCTTCTGTGGCCATGTGAAGCGAGAACTTCCACCCCAACACCCTGGACAAGAGAACAAGGAGGAAACGGTTTGTAAGACGTCTCAAATCTGCTCCATGTGCAGCAAACAATCACACCCTCTTCCAGGATGCTGGAAAAGAGAAGGGAAGAGAAGGGTGAGAGGGGTGGGGTGGGGGTGGGGGTGAGAGGGGGGAAGGGGGGGAGGAAATAAAGTGCCACCATAGGGGTAAGATGATGGTCGGGGTAAACACCAGCGTAGGAGTAAGAAAAAGCATAAGAATATGGGCCAGCATAGGAGTAAGAACCAGCATAGGAGTATGCGCCTGCGTAGGAGTAAGCGCCATAACATGAGACAGCTCAGAACATGAAGCCCCATAGGAGGAAGACTTGTGTGCAGTTCCCATGTTTGAGTTGCTGTGGTGTGGACGTAGTTTATATCTAGAGTTGCCTAGAAAGCGGACTCTCCTTTCAAAGGCAAAATGGCTGGAGAGTCAGAACCAAATGAGCTCTCCACAACGGAAACGCAGATGCACCAGAGGCAAGGATTTTGACACACGAACATGACCTAGCACAAATGCTTAACTGAGACAACACCTACCTGAGGCGCGCTGTGTCAAGAGGATGAATGCCCTGCATCCTCAGCTGCTCATTGTTGCACGTGCGATCGTAGAACGGCGAGTTAGCGAAATAGTCAAACACGTTACCCGGCACGAGGCATCCGCCAACGAAATTTAGAAATATTTGGTCGCGAAAACATAGGCCCGTGAGATCTAATGACGGCACGGCCGGTTGCGGAGGCCCCGGCGGATTTTGCGGTGGAAATGCCGCCATTATGGATTGACTGCTAGTTTCTCCCTCTTTTGCGCAAGGACGGCAGAAACAGTCGGCTGTGGTTTAATCACAAGGTTTCAGCTATTTAGCCTTTTCAAGAAAAAGTGACCATAGACGGAGGGAGCGGGGGATTAGGGGAGGCAAAACGAACCATGCGCCTTGAGCACCTGATAAGCTTGTTTGGCTTGGCACACGAGAACGTAGAATGCGTCAGGGATTGTAAATACCAACATGGTTTCCAAACCAGAAAGCACCGTATTGTATTGCTTCATAAGGAACCGACACTATTCTGATTGACCCGACGTGAGGAATGGAACACGATCTGTACTGCCTCGTTTCGTTTGGGCAGTCTGGAACACGAAGGCGTTTCGTTTGGGCAGTCTGGAACACGAAGGCGTTGTTCTGCAGGAGTTTAGGGTTCAGCACCAATTTGACCGCGGTAAACTTCCATGTATTTTCTAGGCGCATTCGTGCTGGTTGAATTGCGTGGATGTTGCTGCCCCGTATAACTTGTGGGGAGGCTGACGCTAGCTCCCGAGGATGATTTGGCTGGGTTAAAACCCGCGTCTCATATTTCTTGTTTCCAACCAAAGGTAATACGCTTGAAACCGGGTAACCAAACAATCACTCGCAAAACACTCGCGTTTGGTTTGGCGCAGGTGTGATTGGCTGCAAACCAAACAGTTTGGTAGAGGCAGGTGCCTGACTACCAAGCCGGGTTTGCGAGAAACAGGCAACTGCATGTGCGACGGACTGAGAATGGGACGCACAGCCCACAACCGAGCGTATTACAGAGCTGGAAAAATATAAGACTGCAAACCCAGACAGGTTGTAGGTGGAGAAACATACTCGCACCGATTTCTCTAGCGACTAAGTCTCATTTCAGCATCTTATTTTCCCTAGGTTTATTCCAGCGTCAAACGTGACAATACCTTGTACCTCTCGTTGTCGTTGTTTATTTTTATCTTTGGTCACTCCGCGCCTGCATTTGCTTTTACGCACGTATAGTCCGTCCATCGCCAGAGCTGGTCCTCATTATTGCAATAAGATGCACCACTCTATTTGGACCAAGGTGTATTGCAGTAACGCTCCCCCCTGTCGAATTTGGACGGAAGGGACACGACGGAAAGGCAGCAGTTAGGACGAGATAGGAAGCGACGCGACGGAAAGGCAGCAGTTAGGACGAGATTGGAAGCGACGCGACGGAAAGGCAGCAGTTAGGACGAGTTAGGAAGCGACGCGACGGAAAGGCGAGGGTTAGGACGAGATAGGAAGCGACGCGACGGAAAGGCGAGGGTTAGGACTGGATAAGCAGCGACGCGGCTGAAAGGCGAGGGTTAGGACTCGATAAGCAGCGACGCGACATTACAGGAAGCGACGCGACATGGCTGGAAGCGAGGAGAAAGGGATGGGCGTGATGCGAGGGTAAGGGGAGAGTCGCGAAGGGGTGTGGCGGGACGGTTGGGAGGGAAGGGACTGGAAGGGAGGTAAGGGGTGAGAAGGACCTCCGGGATGCGACGAGAAGGGGAGGGGTGGGACGGTGCGTGAAGGGGAGCCGGAAAGGGTAGGAAGGGATACTGTGGGATGCAACGAGGAGTGGAGAGGAGAGAAGTGGAGAGGAGAGGAGAGGACAGGAGGGGACGCTACTGGACACGACGGGACGGGACGGGAACGGGGGGGACCTGATGGGACGTGAGGGGACGCGACGGGAAAGGACGGGACGGGACGGGACGGGACGGGACGGGAAGGAAACGAGACGAGAGGGGACGGGACGGGACGGGACGGGACATGACGGAACGGGATGGGACGGGACATGACGGAACGGGATGGGACGGGACATGACGGGACGGGATGGGACGGGATGGGACGGGATGTATGACGGGACGGAGCGGGAGGGAACGCGACGGAGCGGGACGGGACTGGCGGGAGGAAACGTAGGAGACGCGCCGATCCCCATACCCCTTTCCCTTCCCACATCCCCTTTCCCTAACCCCATCCGCCTTCCCCTCCCCCATCCCCCTTCTCTTTCCCCATCCCCCTTCTCTTTCCCCATCCCCCTTCTCTTTCCCCATCCCCCTTCTCTTTCCCCATCCCCCTTCTCTTTCCCCATCCCCCTTCTCTTTCCCCATCCCCCTTCCCTTCCCGCATCCCCTTTCCCTTTCCCCATCCGCCTACCCTTTCCCCATCCCCTTCTCTTTCCCTATCCCCCTTCCCTTCCCCCATCCCCCTTCCCTTCCCCCATCCCCCTTCTCTTACCACATCCCCTTTACCTTCCCCACACCCTCCTTTCCCTTCCCCCATCCCCCATTCCCTTTACCCATCCCCCATCCCTTCCCTGCATCCTCCTTTCCCTTCCCCCATCCCCCTTCCCTTCCCCCATCCCCCTTCCCTTCCCTCATCCCCCTTTCCCTCCCCCTCTGCTATCACCTTCTTTTCTCTTTCTGCTACCACCTCCCTTCCCCCTCTGCTGTCACCTCTCATCCCGTGATACCACCTCCCTTCCCCCTCTGCTGTCACCTCTCATCCCGTGCTACCACCTCCCTTCCCCCTCTGCTGTCACCTCTCATCCCGTGCTACCACCTCCCTTCCCCCTCTGCTGTCACCTCTCATCCCGTGCTACCACCTCCCTTCCCCCTCTGCTGTCACCTCTCATCCCGTGATACCAACTCCCTTCCCCCTCTGCTGTCACCTCTCATCCCGTGCTACCACCTCCCTTCCCCCTCTGCTGTCACCTCTCATCCCGTGATACCACCTCCCTTCCCCCTCTGCTGTCACCTCTCATCCCGTGCTACCACCTCCCTTCCCCCTCTGCTGTCACCTCTCATCCCGTGCTACCACCTCCCTTCCCCCTCTGCTGTCACCTCTCATCCCGTGCTACCACCTCCCTTCCCCCTCTGCTGTCACCTCTCATCCCGTGATACCAACTCCCTTCCCCCTCTGCTGTCACCTCTCATCCCGTGCTACCACCTCCCTTCCCCCTCTGCTGTCACCTCTCATCCCGTGATACCACCTCCCTTCCCCCTCTGCTGTCACCTCTCATCCCGTGCTACCACCTCCCTTCCCCCTCTGCTGTCACCTCTCATCCCGTGCTACCACCTCCCTTCCCCCTCTGCTGTCACCTCTCATCCCGTGCTACCACCTCCCTTCCCCCTCTGCTGTCACCTCTCATCCCGTGCTACCAGCTCCTCCCATGAAGCCAACACTTCGCCAACCCTTTCACCTTTTTCCCCTGCTTTCACACACTATTCCGCCAAGCAATCACTTCCCCAATTCCTCCCTGCCTCCTTTCTTTCCCCATGCCATGCCTCCCCTCGCTTTCCTCCCATGCCTCAGCTCTGTTTTCCCACTTGTCTCCCCTCTGCTTCCCCCCTTTCTCCCCCCTGTTGATGTGCTTGTTCTAGCATGGCGCCACAAAGAACCAGTTCATCCTTAGTTTTGTGACTAATGCGTAGATTCAAAACTCAGTTGTTGGCAAAGTAGGCTTGCCAAACCCGCCTAGTCTCTTGTCTTTCATAGCATATTACACTTGATGCTCAGATGGTTTCAATGCATCCATTTAGTTTGTAGCAATTGAGCACAGCACTGACCTAAAGAACTTATTGAATGTATACACTTGTGCAATATCTTGAAGATACGGGGTACATCTCTCCTCTAGCGCCAATCTCGCCTTCGTGCATCTGGCCGTGCATCTGCTGCTTGCCTGTCCCTTCCGTTCCGCCAGGCTCGCCTGGGACTAGCTTAGTCCTGCTTGTAACTGGAACAAAGGGAGAGGTGACGGGAGGAAGGAAGGCTCCAGGGATGAGAAAAAGGGCAGTTGAGATGTGAAGGAAGAGAAAGGTGGTAAAAAGGGGGAACGGGGAGAGCAAAAGAGGGTAGGGGTGATGCAAGGAAGGGAGGCTGGCACGCAAGATGGGAAGGAAGGGAGGGCAAATGAGAAGAATGGGAGGGGATGAGAAGGGAAGGGACAGGAGATGGGAAGGCATAGTAGGGGAAATGAAAAAAAAGGAGGGCAGATGGAGAAGGAAAGGGCTCTACACACTCATGGCCCTAAACACAGCACTCAACCTCCCCACCTCCTACTCCCACTCCCCCTCCCCTCTCTCACCATCGCCCACACCCACACCCTCCTCACCTTCCCCTGCTTACATACACCTCAGTTCGGGCAGAAAAGCTAGCAGGGTGAGCGCGTGGCGAGGGCTGGCTGGCAAGCAAGCCTTGCTGCAGACATTAGGAAAGTTGGTAGGGGAGGGGGTGAGGGTGAGTTAACAGGGAGAGGAAGGGGAGAGAGGGAAAGGGAGAGGGTGAAGGGGAGAGAGGAAAGGGAGAGAGGGAAGGGGAGAGAGGGAAGGGGAGAGGGTGAAGGGGAGAGAGGAAGGGGAGAGAGGGAAGGGGAGAGAGGGAAGGGGAGAGGGTGAATGGGAGAGAGGAAAGGGAGAGAGGGAAGGGAGAGAGGGAAGGATGTGTGTTGTGTCTCGAGGCGCAGATGGCAGTTGGGGGAAAGGGAGGTGTGAGCACCGGGATGTGAAGGCTGAGGGACGTGTGGCAAAATGACTTGTGCATTTTTATGCACATGCACTGAATGATAAGAATACAAACAGGTGCACACCCGCACGCACGCACGCACGCGCACGCACGCACGCATGCACGCTTGCTCTCACGCACGTGCACGCAAGCACGCACGCACGCACGCACGCGCGCGCACGCACGCATGCACGCACGCACGCGTACGCGCACGCAAACGTGCACGCACACGCGCACACACGCACGCCGCACGCGCACGCGCAAGCGCACGCACGCACGCACGCGCACGCTCGCGCACGCACGCACGCACGTTCGCACGCACACAAGCTTTCACACACACCCCACACACATGCCACTCGCACACAGACCTTTCACGCAATCGCGCTTGTCGTAGATGGACGACCCGAGCGCATTCTGAAATGCGACATCACCTCTCCGGGTTCCACAGCTGTAAATAGAAGAGTAAGAACGCATTTCGGAATGTTACGGACTGGCTACCTCGTAACAAGCGATGGCGTTGCGACCGTTCCCGACATTGGACGATTCCTTAGTCGCCAATTAGTGCGTTATCCGCAACCAGAATTTGTTCGCAAGTCCCCTGTTATCTGGTCCGAAATGGTCTCTAATATCACTGTTTTAGCGACTAAGGCCAGCATCTTGATGTGGAGGTACATACGTAGGAACCATCCTAAGCGGAGGTTGTAAGACTGACAGGTGAGAGTTTTGCTCTGCTTTTCCTGGTGAACGTGGGCGAATTGCGTCTTGTCGTTTCAGTTGGTCGCAGGGAACTGCCGGATCTGTTTTTTAGGTGTGGGAGCTTTCCATGCCTGAGGGGCTCGTTTGGTTTTTGCATAGACGAACTGAGGTGTCGTCTGTGTTTTCCAAACTGCTCGTCACAAATCTCGCCTATCGATCCCAATCACAGGCGCTTTAGCCCAACCAAGTGTAATACACTAGGAAATATGAGACCCGGGTTTTAAACTTGTGCGGACATTTGCCTGGTGAGGAAGCGTGCAGGAGGCCTCGTGCGGTTGACGTGGTGCGGACCAACAAGTGGTGTTCTGTTGGCATTCGCGTCTAACGTGATTCGGCCAGGTTCGGGAAGAGTCGGCATATCCCGAACCTTGATAACATAATTTCTGCCTATTACAGAAGATTCCGCGCTGCTCGATTTTTGCCAAATTAACGCCTACAGAACAGGGCCGAAATGCTGCTTGTTCTTCGTTCGGGCGAACTAGGTCATTTGAGATTTGTCAGTTTGAGCTCGTCGCAAATACAGCACATTCGTCGCAAATACAGCACAGTTTGTCGCAAAAACAGTTCGAGCCTCACCACGCGGGTTACTGTGTGTGTTCGAGAAGCGTGTCCGTTCCCATTCCTCTCTGAACACGCCCGGAGTGAGCTGTGTTCAACAAATGAAAGTGGATTCTTCGAGAACACAGAATCCACTTTCGTTCGTTGAACTAGAGTCTGGTTATGTCAGCCGGCATTCTCCAATTCATCAGTGGCTAAGCTAGTTCTGGTTCTGTTAGAGAGGTCGAATGAGCTATCCACCAGCTATCCGCCATTAGTCTGTGAGTTTCAAACCACGCGCAATGTCTGTAATTTTCTAAGCTGAACATCACAAACAGATTTCTGCAAGGTTTTTTCACTGGCAGAACAAGAAAGAACTATGGATGAGAAAGGCATCGTTCCCCATGTTGAAACCCCTCAACCACCTCGTCGGCTGAGTGAGGAGGTGGACAACTGGTATGAGGGATCACATACAGTCTCTATGCGTCGCCAATCCTCAGGGATCTCACACTCTGTTCGTCGGCAAAGCTCAGGGCTATCAGAAGCCATTCGGCGTCTTAGTTCCCAAATATCAGAAACAGATGACTTGCGTTTGATTGAGGCTCTAAATGGCGTTGGCGAAGCAGCTTTGATCCATCTTATCAAGGCTTATCACGATGTTCTCAAGAGCCATGGCCTGTCTAAGGAAGCAGCAAACCTTGTCAGTTCAACCGTTAAGGATTTTTCAGCATTGACGGGCGACGAGGAGATTGAGGAGCTTGAAATGCCTCGTGGAACAAGTTTGCTGTTGAAGACTGGACTGAGAAACTATCTACTCTCGATCAAACCATACTTGCCTCGTAATCCATCTCAGGTATAATATGGTCCAGGACCTCGTGTGTGCATCTTCACAAGTTTTTCTACTGATTAAGTGTGGTTCCGTAGGTAGTCAAGGTTCAAGGACTTCAGTATGTTGGCAAATCGAAGCCACTACCTACCACGACAAGAAATTGCTGGAATTCAGTAAGTTGTTTGGGCCTCATTCATAAAGTCAGATCAGAGCTTCATGTCCCCGGAAAATGAAATCACGCAATCTGAAACACTGCAGGGGTACCTAAGCTTGAAGAACGTCTTGACACCCGAGGAGCCTGTTTCAGTGTTAAAAGACATAACCGGGTACTCATTTCGAGGTTTCTCATCTAGTCTTACATTGAATGTCTACCTTTTTTTCAATACTTCACCACCGTTGATTCGCAGGTACTTCATGCCAGGCACATTGACCCTTGTTATTGGACCAGCTGGTGTGTTGAAATTCTGCAATGAACTTGTGAAGTGACGCATGATGTTTTCCTAATTAATCTCGGTATTACACCCAGGAAGTGGAAAATCAATGCTTGTGAAGCTCATTGGAGGCCAGCTTGCAGCTTCTGAAGGTATTATTCGATTCAATAACACGCCAAGCACAAGCGTCCAGGTTCACCGCACCGTTGGCATGGTTCCAGAGCAGGATCATCATCTTCCTCTTCTAACTGTTCGTGAAACACTGGAGTATGCTCGGAAATTCACCCGTGCTGTGACCCTCCGACAGCTGAAGCACGATAAGATGATGCATGCTGTCCTGCATGAAGCGTTTGATGCTGGAGAGGATCCGCTTGTGGAGTCTAGGCTCCTGATGTTTGGTCTGACAAATCAGGCCAAGTCACATGTGGGATCACCAGGCTTGACAAAAGATGAAAGGCATCGGCTGACAGCAGCAGAAACCGTTGTTGGGGCTTACCCAGTAAGTTCCATTGCTCTCTCTCTCTCTCTCTCTCTCTCTCTCTCTCTCTCTCTCTCTCTCTCTCTCTCTCTCTCTCTCTCTCTCTCTCTCTCTGTTTCTGCCAGTGAATTATCTTAATCATAGAGGCTGGTTTCTTTTCAGGTTTTGGTGTTTGATCACATCAGTGAGCTATATGATGGCCCGTCTACTTTCAGAACCCTTTCCATGCTGAAAGAGTATGCTCAGGTCCGACAGACAGTGGTGGTATGCAGTTTACAATGGCCCACTCAGGACGTCTTTAACCTGTTTGATCGCGTCATCGTGCTCAACTCTGGCCGAGTTGTCTATCAAGGCCCAACTGCTTGTTCAACAAGCTACTTTGTGGACTTGGGGTATGGGTCTTACATTTCAGAAGGTGCTGTCGTGTACGTGCTCTGAGCTGAACACCGATTTTTGTAACTATTTCTCAGGTACAAGAAGCCTAAGTACATATCAGAGCCAGAGTTTCTTCAAGTTGTCTCCACAGAGGCTGGAGCACAGCTTCTTGAGCCAGGCTATGAGAAGCTGGACCTCAATGGCTTTGGTAGGGACCGTGCTGTTTTGTTTTGCTCACCTTTTTCCGTTCTTCACTTATTATGAGGTGCTTACATGGTCTTGTTATGGTGGACAGTGCGTGCATATGAACGATCTCCGCTTCATCGTGATGTTATGCGCATTGTCAACAACAAAGGCATCAGCTGTACAATCTGGATATCTGGACCAGCCAAGCTTGTTCTCACGCGCATCACTCTCAGTCTTGCCTCCGATGCGAACTCCTCTGCCAAAACCTCAAGAATAGTCGTGCTGAAGTCAGACTGCAAGGAGGATAGCAAGGATGGTGAGCTGGTCCTGACTGGGCCTATTGAAGAAGGTGATGAGCTTGTTGGGTTTGCACTTATGGGAAGGCAGTTTGAGTATGCGAGAAATGTTGGTGGTGACCTGGACCCACAAGACCTTGGCAAGTTTCTCGAAAACCTAATACACAGTAGCAACATGGTTCAGCTTCAGTTTGAACGACCAGAGCCAACGTCTTCAGAAGAAAAGGTGATGGAAGATGGCAACTGTGATGTGTTTCCTTTCCTTGTTGAGCAACCATTTGTTGAAATTCTGTGATCAGGTCAAGGAAGCACAAGATGAGGTGAAGCAGTTGAATACTCGGTTCATATTGGACCCTTGGCCAGAATTCTTGCTGTTGCTGCATCGTCAGCTATTATCACTATGCAGGAACCGATTTGCATTGATGGCAAGATTCATTCAGGTTTGCATTGTCATGAATCTGTCTACACTCATGCCTTTCAAATCTCTTGTTGACGTTTTCATGACTTTTGGTCTTGGTGATGCAGATTCTGTTCATGTCCCTTTTCCATGGCTTCAACTTCTTTCAGATGCCCTCTGACCCTCCAACTGTTGGCAACCTGAACCTTCGTCGAGGAATAACCTTTCTCTCGCTTGTCGCGATGACCTTGTTCAACCTCAGTCAGCTACCTATATTCATGGAGGAGCGTCTGGTCTACTACAAGCATTCATCTGCCCAAAGCTTTCGCACATACACCTACCTGTTGGCCCATGTGTTGGCTGGAGCTCCCTTTTCAATCATAGAGGTACGTCCAGTTTCAGTAACTTGGGGTTTTGAAGTTTTCTTAAGAATGTGTAACTTACTTTCCTCGTGTTTCTTCAGGCAACTGTGTGGTCCATCGTCGTGTATTTTTTGGCTGGATTTTCACTCAGTGATGGTGGTGTCCACTTCTGGATTTTCTATGCCATTATGATTCTCACCGTCCTGCATGGGTCAGCGATGGTCCGTTTCATTGCCTTCTCCACCCGGAATCCTGCTGCTGCTGCCTTCTTTTCTGCACTTCTTGTGGGCCCTTCCGTTTTCCTCTTCATTCATCTCCTCATTCCCCAATCCCTCATCCGGGGTTACTGGATATGGGTGTACCGGATTGATGCTCTCCAGTGGGCTGCAACCATGATGCAAGTCAATGAATTCCGCAACAGCAAGTTCAATACTCCTTGCACAGAAGTCCTTCCGCCTACATATCTCATGCCCAGCTCATCTGTTTCCAACTCCTCAGCTGCCTTCCCTCTCTTGCCATTGAGCCCGTATCCATTTTGTCAAGCCCACCCAACTGAAGCAGTGGGGGTAGCATACCTCAAAGGCAACGGTTGGAACTATGACTGGATTGTATTTCTGATTGGTCCACTTGTGCTTGTCGCCTGGACCATTCTCTGGACCCTGGCTAGCTATATCTGCCTCCTTCCAGGGTATTACCAGCAGCACTTTCCGCATCATAAAATACTGCCACCAAGCTGCCTGGCAGCCAAAAGTGAGTCCAAGGAGTCAGCTTGTGCCAATGGCATCAGACCTGCTACTGGTATAGATGTGTTGCCATCAGAGCCTCGCAATGGCCATGATGTTGCAGTTGAGTTTGGGGAGATAGAAGCCAGGAATGGCGAGTCAGAGGGATGGCAGGCTGTATGTCCACCGCTTCAGCCAGTGGTGCTGGCATGGCAGAATCTTTCCTACAAGATCACATCCATCCATTCTGATAGAGACATGGAAGTTCTGAAAAGCATCTCAGGCTGGGTGAAGCCTGGTGAGATTACAGGAATTGTGGGAGGAAGGGGTGCAGGCAAGACAAGCCTTCTCAACTGTCTTGCTGGTAAGCATTCCTGTATCTTGCTGTTACTTATTTTATCTGCTGTCTTTGGAGCCTCTCAATTCTCAGTATTCTCTTGTGACAGGGCGAAAGATTCGTGGGCGAATCACAGGCCAGTTGTCGGTCAATGGTCTGACTCGTGACCTTGAATCCTTCATCCAATGCACGGCATACATTGAAGGAGGCCATCAGCACTACCCGTATCTTACAGTTCGAGAGAGTCTTATGTATCGAGCCGACCTTCTGCTGCCACAATCAGTGTCGCGCAAATCACGTAACTCGTTTGTGGACAAGGTGAGACCTTTCAGTTTTTTTTTTGCTATGGATGTGTACAGATGCCTATCTCGTCCTCATTATCTCCTCTTCTCATGTTTCAGATTCTGAAGGTCACTCGAGTACATGACCTTGCAGAGTATTTGGTAAATGACCTCCTTACTTCAGGTGGCAGCGGTCTGGTATTTACAGAAAAGCGAATCGTGCTGGCCATGGAGCTTGCAGGAAACCCCTCGGCTCTTTTTCTTGACACCCCCTTCATTGGCATGGACATGCAGCAGATTGTGCAGTTTGCAGAGATTCTAGACGTGAGTAATAACATGTCAGAGTAATAACATGGCATCCTCCTATGATGTAAATTTGTCCCGTTTCCTGATGCATTTGAACCTCCTCTGTATTTGTGCACTTCAGAGCGTGGCAACAGGTTGGGGCAAGGCCATGGTAGTGTCAACCAACGTGCCAACAGTGGTTCAGCTCAACAGCTTCACTTCTGTGCTCATGCTACGCAGTGGAGGTGAAATGGTATACTTTGGACCTGCTGGTCAATTTGGCTCTGCCATTGTGGTGAGTGAATTGCTGGAATGCTAGAGTTGGACCTTCTTGGATGGGATTTATAGCTTGTTTTCCCAGTCTTTTTTTTTTTTTTTTCCCTCTATTGATGTTTCCCCTGTTTATGATATGCAGGAATACTTCCAGTCCATACCTGGCACTCCCATTCTCCCTGACAACATGAATCCCATCAGCTTCTTACAGTATGCAATGGGAGAAGGCGTTTCAGAGTCTGTAGCTGCACGTGACTATGCGTTTGAGTATCGAATCAGCAACCTGGCCATGAGCAACGGCCAGCACCTGCGGAAGCTTCGTCGCAATCCCAACTCCTTCTATGCTTCAGAAGCATCAGACTCAACTGCTGCTATGCCAGCACTTCCTGGATCTGGTCAGGTGGCTGCGCGTTCAAACCAAGGCAGAACAGATGCCAGCACTGTACTTGCCAGTGAGGAACCTTCTTTGCAGTCCAGGAAGCCTGGAAACGCTCTGAGACCCACCTCAACGCCTACTTATGAGCCAGAAATTTCAATGAAAGACACACTACAAAGAAGTCGCTGGTGCCTGCCGCAGTCTCTTTACATGTCGCGTCTGGCAAAGGTTTATTGGTCCATCAACGTCCTCTACTGGCGGAACACCTCTTATACCCTGTCCCGTGCAGTTGTCGCTTGTGTCCTGGGCCTCGTTATTGGCTCCCTCTTTTTCGACCTACCCTGCTCTACTCTCCTCCAGATCTCAGCGCGTGCTGGATTTGTGTTCACACTGCTCATCTTTGGGCCCACCTCTAATGGAGGAACTGTGGTGGGAATGCTGACACGCATCCGCCATGTGTTCAACAGAGAAAGGCTCAATAAACAGTACTTTGCTTCAACATACATCATCTCCTTCACACTGGTTGAGGTACGCAACACAGTTTTGTGTTTTGAGCTCTGGAGTTGTATCATGGACCAGATGGTCTTACCTTTTTTTTGCTGTTTGCAGATTCCGTATCTTATTGTAACGACTCTGATATTTATTGTCATATCAACGGGCCTAGCTCAAGTTGCAGTTTCCAGCTTGTCACAGTTCTTCGCATTTTGGTTCTCCCACTTCCTTTTCTCCCTCGGTATCACCTACCTTGGGTTTCTTCTTTCAGTGGCTCTTCCAAACCCAAGAGTGAGTTACTACTTGTCCAAGCCCCCAGGCTCTCTGAAAACTGATGGTCTGTCCTGCATTTCATTTCCAATATCTCCTGACCTGCCATATTCACTGCAGCTCGCATTCATGCTCGTGCCTATGGTGTCTGGAGTATGGATAAGCACTGCAGGATACGTGGTCCCATACAGTTTAATGCACTTCTTCTTCAGGCCATTTTATTGGACCAACCCTTTACAGGTATGAAGCTAGTATTGTTTTTCTGGTCTTACATGTCGTTCACTGTGCCATCTTCTTGCAGTATGCATTGAATGCTATGACTGCCATAGCTTTCTACTGCGACACCAAAAGCCCCAGTTGTGTGAGTCCTGGTTGTGCTACACTTGTTTCATCATGCCACGATTGCTCGTGTCCGCGCATCGAGGGAAGCAGCAGCTTTCAATGGACATATGTATCCACGGGCCGTTCTCTCCGTTCTGAATACATCTACGACTGGCTCTTCCTCATCCTATTCTGTATTGTATGTCGGATTGGCACATACCTGGCCCTCCGATTTATGCAACACAACAAGAAGGCTGCATCTTAGTATATTGGCTGCTTCTATTGAATTTTGAGCATGTGTAGGACCAGAGGTAGTGCAATGTTTCACAGCGTGCGCAGAAACCACATTACGGTATTGGATATTGGTCACATACTAGATGCGCAGTGGCCATGATGTACCGGTAAGCATTGCATTACGAATGCAATGTCATCAGAGTAGTCTGAAATGTTTTTCACCCCTCAACAGCGAGCTGTAGGGTGAGAGAAACAAGGAAACGGGCTGCTGTTAGGCATAAGCGAGCGAATGGAAGGACACAATGGCTTTATGCTTTATGTGGTTCTGTGTGCGTTGCTGTCAGCCACATCGTAGAAAATATTTCTCGGGTAGTGTTTCTGGGACACCTTTTATCGAGTTCCCGCCTCCTACACTCCCCCAAAGCAGCCGCTCTGACTTCTCTGCCAGCGGAGAAACTTCACGGCGGCTCGCGCACTGCGCCTACCAATTGCCCCGCCAAGCTGTGTTTGCGCTTCGTCCCGCTCCTTGAGATTTGTGGAGCCACTGTCGTCTGTCATGTCATCCCGCTCACCGTTTATGTCGTCTCGTCTCTTCATTGACGGCGATGCTTTTTACACGCTTGAATCAGAAGGTCGTTCGTCCTCGTCCAGACACGCAATCTGTTTGCTAGGTGGTAGGAGCACACTGACGTCCACTTTCGCTGGTCGATTATAGATCTAGGAACCATTGGCCCAGACTTCATCTCTTCGTGAGTTGCTTTCGTGCAAACGATCTTATCTTATTATCTATCTTATCTTTTCTCCCATACCACCGGCCACCTGACCGATTTCGCACCTGCTTCAGCCTGGAAACATAGACGGTTTCAGTTTCTCGCTGCTCAGATTGTCTTGGATCAAGCCCTAAGCCGGGTTTCCATCTCTCGCAACATCACCTGTCTCCGACTTCCAAAACGCCGCCTGGTTTCGCCTGCTTTCGTCCATCTCAACTCCATTTACGACCCATCTCCGACCATCAGCATGGTCGTGAACTCGCTCGTGAGACCTGAGCACCTCGGCTGTTTCAACATCTCAGCCGCCTTTGAGCGCGGTTTACAGCGCATCGGACGGCCAAAAGGCCACGTCGCAGTGATCCGCATTCCGTCGAGCCGGATACCCCCCTGCGGAGGCTTGATAAACCTATCAAGCTTTGAGCCGGGCCTCGCTGATAAGGAGAACGGCGGAAAAGGTCCTGATAACGAAGGTTCAGCGCTGGCTTTGCACTTCATCGCACGGCCTTGCTGCAACTTCGCTGATGCCTCCGCTGCTGTTACAATCGCCATTCAACACATAGGAAAGCTTGAGCTCCAGTCATCGTCATCTTTTGAAAAGAGTACGTGGGATGGCAAGGTGTTTTTGTTGCCCCTCTCCGACTCTCGTTTCCTTGCCTCGTGCTGTTTTGATTTGTGTTTCTAACCAGCATTCCGATCCCATCCCTTAGTTTGCCTTTTTCGTGATTTAGCTCTCAGGCATCTTTAATCTTATTAGATTTTTGCGTGATCCAGTCTCGAAACGTCTTGAAGCCCCTGATCTTCGGTTCTCCCGTAATCCTTAGGCAACCGAAGGGCCAAACTCTCTGTTTCGCTCTCACTTCTCATGTCGTGAACACCTGGTGCGAAGCAGGAAAGTTGACGCGACTTTTGATGGACGTAGAAGGAGGAGAAGGTTGCAAGGGAAACATTCGGTTGGCGTGCACCGTAAGCCCCCAGCATCAGCACCTGGAGATAGTGCGCTTGAAAGACTTCATCTCAGCAGTCAAGGCTGGGAAGCTGCCTTGCTTCCCTGGCAAGTGCGTTGCTTGCCAGCTGAAGGGCCAGAAGGTCTTGTTGACAAAGCAACGACAGGAAAAGGTAAGTGTTAAATGAGAGGCTATGTCATCTATACGTTGGTGTAAGAGCTTTCTGTGATTCATTTTTTTTCCCAGGTTGTGTGATGCGTTCTAAGTGTTTTGGGCTGCCACGTGGCGTCTTTGCAGATACTGCACGAGAGGGCGGCAAGGCAGCGACGAATGGAGCGGAGGGAGTCGAAACAGGAGCAAATGGACGAGCGGGCAACGAAGCACAAAGAGACGGGGGAGGGCGTGGCGAGTCAGCAGCAGGAGAACGCGGCAGAGGAGCGTCTGTGGAAAGGGAAGGAGGTGGAACGAGAAGGGGGGGAGGGTATGGACGGTATGAGGAAAGATGCTGAGAAGGACGAGAAGGTTGGAAAGTCGGCTGCTTCTGCTTCTGCTGCTGCTGCTGCCTCTGCTGATGCTGCTGCTGATACTTCTGCAGCTGATGATGCGACGAGGGAAAAGGGGAAGAGGAGGGAGGAGGAGGAGCGGCAGGCCGAGGGGAGTGCTGAGCGAGAGGCGCAATGGAAGAAGAGGGAAGAGGAGATCAGGAGGGAATTCGAGAAAGAGTTTAGGGCGAGAATAGAGGAGTTGGAGCGGCAGTACCAGCAGCGGCCACAGCAGCAGCAGCAGCAGCAGCAGCAGCAGCAGCAGCAGCACCAGCACCAGCAGCGGCCACAGCAGCAGCAGCGGTGGCAAGAGAATGATGCCTTTGTGAGTACCGTTGCCACCTGTGCTCGTTGTCCAGTCTCCACGAGCTCCCCTCCCTTCCCCTCCCCTTCCCTCCCCTCCCCTCTCCTCTCATCTTCTGTCTCTGACTTCTCTCTCGCAGCCCTGGTTTAAGAAGCCTTGTTCTGCGCGTCTGATCCCTCCTAACGTCCAAGAACCACGCTTAACAGTGTTTTTCTGACCTCCCCTCTCCTTTCCCTTCCATTTCTTTCTTCCCCTCCCCTCCCTTTTCGTCTCCCGTCCTCTTCCCTCCAACCCGCCTCTTTACTCTTCCTTTCACTGTTATTCCCTTACCCCTTCTGGCCCTCACCCAAATCTGCACATCAGGGTCCCCCGCCCCCGCCTCCTCCAAAGGGGGCTTCAGCGAGCGAACTTGCTTCGTTCAATGCCCGGCTGCGGGACTGGGAGGCTCGTGTGAAAGCTGCTCTTGCTGCGGCGCAGAAGAGGATTCTGCGCACTGAGGGAGAGGTGACAAAGAAGAGGAAAGCGGAGGAGTGTCAGAGAAAGGCTGAGGAGGTGAAGAGAAACAAGGCGGAGGGTGCACGGAGGAAGCGGGAAGAGGCGAAAAAGGCTGCTGAGATGAGGGAGGAGAGGGAGAGGGCGCGGGAGGAAGAGAAGAGGGTGAAGAAGGAGGAGAAGAGGAAGGAGAACGAGAGGAGAAAGGAGGAAGAGACGAGACAGAAGGAGGAGAAGAGGAAGGAGAACGAGAGGAGGAAGGAGGAAGAGACGAGACAGAAGGAGGAGAAGAGGAAGGAGAACGAGAGGAGGAAGGAGGAAGAGACGAGACAGAAGGAGGAGAAGAGGAAGGAGAACGAGAGGGAAGTGAGGAAGGAGGAGGAGAAGAGGCGGGCGCAGGAAAAGGAGAGGGAGAGGGCAAAGAAGGAGGAGGCGGCATTCGATGAGCAGATGGAGCAGCTGGAGGAGGAGTGGCAACGGCGGCAAGCAGGTGAGAGCGAGTGAAGAGCTGTATGGCTGCTTGTAGTGAGGCACTAGCTGCTTGCACTGGAATACTCGTTGCATGCCTGTATAAAAGAGCTCGTTGTGTTCTCTTTGGTTTTGCGACACAGCATACTTGTAGTACTGGGTGTGCATGTATCCGATTTATGGATGTGTTCGGATGATGAGTGCATGATTGTGGGAGGGGGAATAGGCGTTTGGAATTGAGGTAGCTTGCACATGAGTTGTACGTTTCTGAATGTGCTCATGTGCGCCGGTTTGTGTTCATGTGTGCTCTTGCATGTTCACATGAATGTGCATGCATGTCCCTTCAGATGCGCCAATGACCTACGAGGAATACTCAAGCAGTCTGACGCAGCTCCGGAAGCAAGCAGCCAGAGCTGGTGTTGGCAGCAGCCGCATCCCTGGCACCACCCCACTCCACTTCTGGGACATCCCCTGGCCGCCAGCAGGCAACTGCCTGTTCCTCTCCCCTGGGGACCCACCTGGGCTGAAGAGGAGAAAGGCTATGGATGCGCTGCTGTTCTGGCATCCGGATAAGTTCCTCAACTACTATGGGGGACGGCTGGTGGCAGGGCATAGGGAAGCGGTGCTCAAGAAGGTGGCTGGGCTGAGTCGAGAGGTGGTGGTGGCTGCTCAAAGGGTGAGGGGATAGGGTGGCAGCAGTGCAAGTGGCTGCGGCTGAGAAGCAACTCCAAGGCGAGGTTGTATGGTGGCAGGTGGAGTGGGCGGCAGCTGGAGTGGGCGGTTGTGTGTGTATGGGGGCGCTGCTGTTCTGGCACACGTATAAGCTTGTGGAATGCTGGGGGTGAAGGGGAGGGGTGCGGCTGGCAAGGCATAGGGAAGCGGTGCTGAGGAAGTTGGCTGGAATGAGTAGAGAGGTGGTGGAGGAAAAGAAGCAGCTGTGGGGAGAAGCTAGGGAGTGATCCGGCTGGATGTGCATAGAGGTGATTATTGAGTGGTGACTATTGAGTCGACTCTAAAGTGGCTGGCTGGGCTGAGTCAAGAGGTGGCAGCATAGTGCAGGCTGAGAAGCTGTTCAGGGGTGAGGGTTGCAGCAACCGTTTCCCCTGAGCTGCTTCTTTGCCAGTTGATGTCCGAGTAGTGGTGTGGGTGTGCTGGGCTGTGAGGGTTATTCCTTGGTTGTGTGTACTACGCATTGCTTTACTTCTTGTGAGGTGGTGCATGGTGCAAGGGTTGGTTATAATTACGGTAGGCGGATTCTGAAGTGTATGTTGTAGTGCTGGATGATCATGGCAATAAGCGTAGTGGCAGCAATGCCACTAGCATATTCATTTGGACGGCTAGCATGAAGCAAGTGCATGAAATCCATAACCTACATTCACTGGACAGCACCTACATTCACTGGTCCGTTTATACATTCACTCACTGCCTATCGTAATTCTCAACCTAGATGCCGTATATGCCGTATACCGTAATATACCGTATATGGCGTTTCAGGAACCTGGCAAGCCATGCATGCCAGTATCGGCCAGCACAGGCCCAATGCGCTCAAGATCCACATTTGTGCGCTCATGATCGCGCATGATCCCACTGTATACCGCAATGTTGCTTAAATTATGGAGAATTCGGTTGCTACTCGGCGGAATGTTTGGCTGGGTCACCTTATATTGAACCACCGCCTCTCGCTTTCCCGCCACTGCGCTTGATCTCCGACCCGCCTGACTTCTGCCAGCGGAGAACCACAGGCGGCTCGCGCACCACTCACCTTGATGTTGCAGTAGCCATCGAGATGCAAGTCTGGACATTTGAGCAGCCACTGTCATCCCTCATGCTATCCCGCCCTCCATTCATGTCGTCTCGTCTCTGGAATGTTCTTTACACATTTGAATCAGAAGGTTTTTTTGGGTTGCGAAGCAACCTATTACAATCGTTATGTTCAATTTTTTTTCATATTTTTTCATTCAAAATATGAAAAAAAATGAGAATTACTTCAATGACTACTTTACGATACTTCTTGTGATATGTATGTTGCTGTGTGCTCGTCTGTGTGGTAAATTTTTGCCTACTTAGTGGCTGTGTATCCTGTATAGTATGATGATTTTAAATAATGATTGCATAATGCATGAATATGATGCATAGTAGAATGCATAGTAGTATGATACATGCTACTGCAGTATGTATGCCAGTAAATGATATAAATGCGTGATAGTTGTAAGACCTAAACAACTAGGCTACCGCATCCCTTGCCTAGCATGGGGGGGGAAGTCAATAGCCTAGCATTTAAGTCATACAACTACCACATGAATACAACACAATATGAATTTTTTCGAAAGTGTGTAACACTTTCTAAAAATGCGTATTGTGAAAGCGCAGCTGACTGTAGCGCAGCAAGGCAACTGCGAATTACCATTCGCCGAATATATAAGAGGGTTGGAGGCCATTCGGCCTCCACCCACGTCTTCATTTTGGAACTTTGCAGTTCCTCTCCATTCTCGTCCAACCACTTAGTTTTTCCGTTGTCACTTTGATTCTTTCACTAACTCGTAGACAAGACAGACTTATCAACTGTGAAAGGCAACGGAAGCACACATGCGACTATACCTGGCGTGCGTTCAACTGAAAGCGAAGTGCGCCGGAGGAAATTGCAACTGGCACGCCAAGGACGAAATCGCCAGTGGCGCGCGCCATGGACGAAATCGCCAGTGGCGCGCGCCAAGGACGAAATCGTCACTGGCGCCAGTGGCGCGCGCCAGGGACGAAATCGCCACTGGCGCCAGTGGCGCGCGTCAGGGACGGAATCGCCACTGGCGCCAGTGGCGCGCGCCAGGGACGAAATCGCCACACGCTCGCCTGCAGCTCCTGCGCCAGTGGCGAAATCGCCACACGCTCGCCCGCAGCACTTGCGCCAGTGGCGAAATCGACACACGCACACCTGTGCCACGAAATCGCCACTAGAGCGGCAGTGACAGGACTTCCTTGACTGGGAGCCAATCACCAATTTTGAGTCGTTTGTTTAAGTGCTGCAAGCCTTTTCATTTATTTTTCTGTTATGTCATCTCCTCTTATTGTCTATTAATCCCCCCGCTGCTTCAATCCCTTGGTGGCAGAAAACTGGGCTCAACCCCAAGAAAACCGGGCTCAACACCACAAAAGTGGGACTCCACCAGTCGCGGGGAAGAAATCGCACCAGCGACAAGATCAACCGCACACGCACCCAGGGACACCCCCCAATGAAAATACGGGACCGTGGGTCCTCGTGTGGCCTAAGAGCCGTTCCCCAGGGGGGGGGGGAGGGGACCGAGGGCCCCCGCGTGGCCTGAGAGCCGTCCCCCAGGGGGGGAGGGGACCGAGGGCCCCCGCGTGGCCTGAGAGCCGTTCCCCAGGGGGGGGGGGGGAGGGGACCGAGGGTCCTTGCGTGGCCTGAGAGCCGTCCCCCAGGGGGGGAGGGGACCGAGGGTCCCCGCATGGCCTGAGAGCCGTCCCCCAAGGGGGGAGGGGACCGAGGGTCCCCGCGTGGCCTGAGAGCCGTCCCCCAGGGGGGGAGGGGACCGAGGGTCCCCGCGTGGCCTGAGAGCAGTCCCTTAGGGGGGGAAGGGGACCGAAGGTCCCCGTGTGGCCTGAGAGCAGTCCCTTAGGGGAGGAAGGGGACTGAGGGTCCCCGCGTGGCCTGAGAGCAGTCCCTTAGGGGGGGAAGGGGACCGAAGGTCCCCGTGTGGGCTGAGAACCGTCCCCCAAGGAGGAAAGGGGACCGAGGGTCTGGGGGGTGGCCTGAGAGCCGCCCCCTAGGGGGGAGAGGGGACCAAGGGTCCCCGTGTGGCTCGAGAGCTGTTTTTACGTACGAGGGAATAGTGGCCCGAAGTTCTGCGCTAGCCAGAAGTCCATTCCATTGCCTTCAGGAAAGACATGTAGACTCTAATGTTGGATGCGCAGAACCTGATTGTACGGTATACGTTGATGTGGATCATCCTTGGTTATTGCAATGTGCATAAGTTAAAAACGAGGAGTTTTTTAGCCCCACCGTGAGCATTTTGACCCAAAATTGTTGATTCTAAAATTAGGGGAGAATTTGATTGGAGCGATCTGATTACAAATGTTTGGTTGGTAAAGGGCAACTATGGAAGGTTTTTGAATCTCACTGGTTACACACACCTAACCTCAACCTCAATCATTGTTTTTCTTTGCATGAGGGCAATGCGGAAGGGAGAAGGCTTTCGCCATCGTGCACTGCACATCCACCTTGTTCAATCATACCGGTACATGCTTGACAAGCGAGGTACATGATTCTCAATGATTGAGAAATGTTGGGTACCCATCAGCAGTCCGCGCATCGAATTAACATGGATGCGCCGTTGGGAGTTACGGATTGACTCTTCATGAAGTTCTCGTCTAACCACCACGCCAGACAGCTTCCCCTACTATGGTATCCAGTTCAAGTTCAGACACTCGCGCTGTAGTTAGTCGGGAGCATCAAACTGTTTGAAGCGCACATCACATTGAAATGTCAATCGCATAATACCGTAGCAGATTTCATTGTTTCATATTCGACACCCAGGGTCCCGTTAGTGGTCAGAGGGCCATTTCCCGAGGGGAAAGGAGCAGAAGGTCCTTGATGGCCAGAGGGTTGTTCCCCAAGGAAGGGAGGCTGGTATGATACTTATTGTGGCCTTATAATGGAGATATTTATACGATTTTGGTTGCTGAGAAGAGTCATCTTTCACTGTTGATCAAGGGAAATAGGAGTCCAACTTTTCATAATACCGTATATATGCTTGGACGCATGCACCATGCGGTGAACATGGAAGCACATTGCCCAAACTCGCTCCCATCTGCGTGTAATTCACATCGTCGTTGGCTAGCAAGCACACTATTAGGCCCTGCATGGCCATAGAGTAGTTTGGAGGTGCTCACACAGTCGTCTAATCAAGGTTATCGAACCTGCGTAGATCAATTCTGTTGATGGTCAGATCCTCATACCATTTGACACACCAAGATCTGCGTTGCGGTACTCTACATAAAGAACTATAGGGATGCATCGAGCTCTAGTCAACGACTGAAGATATCGGCCATGATACTCCTAGGGCAACGGAGACAAGCGAGTGTTCGGTTGAAAGAGTGTTGCTATACAATAACTTATCGTTTTTGTGAAACGAAATCCATATTCCAAATGATGGCATGGATGAAATTTCTTACCGGTCGATATATTTGACTAGCGTTCATAAAGTACTCTTCCTAGCGCATCCCTTACGCCTCAGACTACACCCATCCCAAGCTACCCAACCTCCTTCCCTAGTTGCGATTTCTCTTCCTGATGGTTGTGCGCCCGTTGGCATCCTTCCTTCCGTGGGAGTTTTGTCCTTTGGTGTGTTCCAGCGAACACCTGCGAACATGAAAGGCAGCTCATGACACTAAAACTCATTCAGAAAAAATGCAGTTGCCGCTCAATCCGTCACACAGAAATCACTCGCATGTTATCGTGCTTTGTTATCCATCCGTCAGCTCGTTCGCATCCTCAACAGTGAACAACAGATGTCGGCGAATCCCGACGGTCGCAATTATTCATCGAGGGCTGACATGCACCGATATCCAGCTACATGGTCACTTCGGACACGCCCGAAAACACCAACTACCACCAGTTCAACACACTCTACTCTACTGCCGCACCAACAACTAGGACATCCACCACACCCAGGG